AAATGAGTAATTTAACGTCAGCTTATTGAAATGAAATACAAACGGTTTAAAGTTATCACTAAATAAACGACTAGGAAATCCATGAAATTCCAATAAAGATGCAGAAATCCAGTTTTTGTTTAGATAGTATATATCAACAAGATTTTACCAACAACGGAATATGCTCTTCCTGTAACAAAAATTTGTTCTTTGTGATCAGAAGGATCACTGTAACGGATAAAGGCAACCGAACAAAATACAACAATGATACACATTATTTTGCGCAATCACCTTGTCAGCATTTAATTAGGAGGAATACATACATTTTCGTAATACATTCATAAGGTATATCCGTTTAAGTATACTGTGACATCCATATGAATGAGAGATATATTTCTAGCCATCATGCAACTTGACCATGTATTTTTTTCCGACTCAGCTAAAATCAACGTTAGATGGATACGATAAGCAAGAGACGACCGATTAGTTTAAACTTACTCGATAGGATAAATAAAAAAGACTAATGACCAGAAGACACGAAGAAAACTTGTCGCTACTACAGAACTTAGACGTCACAAGTTCCACCTTGGATAGGTTTTTGACTTGGGCGATTAGTGTCACCTGGGTCTGGATAGGAATTTTAAAGTGTATACGAAGATAAATGCTGTTATTCTATCAGATTTCCTTTTGTATTCTGTGAATAGATATTGTTTAACGAACAAGATGGTTGGTTTTTCAATAAATATTTAAAATGTTTCGTCGCGAAATAACATCAACTGAATGACTGCATAGACGAATGTTGTGCTGAAGTCATTCTATTACTCAGAGGGAAAATATCCATTAATAAATTTCCCTACCTACATCACTTTGATAATATCGTGGGAATTTTCGGTGATAAATCTACTCTTTCATTTCTTTTTACATACGTATAACTGGGTTCTGTAAATTGTTTACATATTGGAACTTTTATTCTCAACTATATTTCGTTAGGAATTTGAGGTTAGTAGAAAAATATGAATTTTATATGCAGTATGTTTTTTATACTGGGATTACTAAGTATGTATATATAAAAACGATCCTGAAGTTAGAATGATCGAAAAATTAACATCTGTTAGCTGTCGTACCTGGGCAATGGACAGTATCTACTAACTACACTGAGATAGTTGACTGACAGGCTACAGTCGTCCATAAGGTTAGGTAAGAAAATCAAACAAATCAGTAGTTTGAAATCAAACGCGAAATATTAGTTGGACAAAGCAAAAACGTCTTGGAAAGTGCGCTATTTTATTTACGTAGATGAACTGTTATTCCTAAGTTAAATGTAGAAAACGAACATAAATTCCATTGGAAAATGACACTATTCGACTTTTTTAAAAGAAATCCAAAAAAGCAATACCTCATTTCCTTTAGTTTAAGTTGTTTTATTTGATCCTACTTTACAACCTTATATAGTTTTATGGTGGAAAAAGTAGAATTATGAAGTCAGAAAGGAGCTGAACTTGCAATAAACATCTAGTGTTATTAACCTATATTTGAAAGACGTTATTTGGATTTTAACATAATAGCAATCGAAATACAGTTTCATAAAGTTTTCCGTGAATGGAATTAACTTTGCACTTGGATGAATTACGTCAAACAGATGTAGGAAACAAATTTTCGTAGACTACTGAATTCGCAGCCATAGCTTATAACCCGTTTTTATTTGATCCTCCGAATCATAATTTACTTGTTTAGAACGATTAGAATGGTGAATTCTTCTTGCTAATTATCACACAAAAACTCCCAAGATTTTGTAGACTTACGTTATACTGAAAACTGATACAAAATATACACTGTAAGTAGAATATAGGTGACTTCAATGTCAAGAATACTTCATGATACCTAATACGAAAAACAAATGTTATATAAACAGAAGCTACATGACTCATCTATACTTTGCATTAGAGTGTAGAATGTCGTTTTAAGCAGTGTATGATCGAAATTTTTCTTCGTCAAAGCATTTGTTCTATGATTGAAGCGATGATAAATTCTGAGCTAGAAAGACCTACCATAACGGATATAGGGATTGGTAAGTCATATCTGGGACATCATAAATGATGTCGTAATTCTAAATGTCATCAAGAATTTGATTTACATATTTGGACTACCGGTTTCAAGAAATACTTCTGATGGTTAGCTTATTGAATAACTATTTTCTTTTTAGCTGTCAAATGGACTAAGCTTAGAATTGTCTTTTTTAAAATTGCCCTATAAGTTATAATAAGCTAATCTTTGCTGTGCAATGGTTACTTTAGTGCAAGTTGGATCACCATCATTGATCGCCTTTTAATAACCGCATAAAGATAGCTTAAGTTCTCAAAAGTAGAGACGTCACCTAAAGTTTCACTATTATGCTAGTAATTTATTCACTTATTAATAAGACACTAAGCGTACTTTTGAGTTAGTAGCGTCCAAAACCGTAATAAAAACGGGATGGTCAATATCGTCATCATCAACATGACTATAAAAATGAGCAGGTACAACTCAGTGAACTACTGACAAAAAAAATAAAATATGAAAAAAGTCAATTTGCTAAACACTAGTTTCATTTGTCTGTAGTGGGAATTCTACACAGTCGAGTGCATTGAAATGATCACGTGGCTGTAGAATCTCAATAAATACGTTAGGATATATATATAAGGTTAGACAGATGATTCATACACATATACGTACGTTTGCATGTGTGTAAAGTCAATGTAGCCTTTAAAAGAAGGTATACAAGATGAAGTTGGAAAAACAACTTCTTTGAACTAAATGAAGGACACAAACGATTTAAGAGAGACGAAAGATAGTGAATAAGCGAACATTTGGATGTAACAATTTAAATGTATGCATGATATAGAAGAGATAATCTATTACGTATAAAAGTTTTTCATAATGTTAATCATAAGTAAATGAAACCGATTTTTCTCCTTACCAAGGTATAATGAATTTTGCACACAATTTGTAGAGGGTACATTTAATTAAGGAAAAGCAAAATAGAAATGGTGATACATAGCAGTACGAAGATTAAAGAAGGCAAGCTACTTTTTATCCTTTTCGCAAAAAGTCACCGGCGAAAACCCATTATTATTTGTATCATCCGCCATAAGAACAGTTAGCGCAGTAAGTTTTACCGTAAGTTACTAATATACACAGATACACGAGATAACAAACAGTGCAGGTGAGAAAAGTGTATAACCACGTATGAAATAAATCACACCACATTATGGAACTAGGTTTCATGGCAGAAAAGATAACTCATAATTTTGTAAAAGAGAACAGCAACAATATCACAAAGTAACTTCCGCATGAATTTAAAGTAATTGTCAATACTTCAGAAAATTAAAATATCTTTTAAACTGCATTGGATAACGAAATAAAGGTGAAACCTGCATTAGAATAAACATCTAGGACAGAACGTATTCAAAGAATTAAATGGAATCACCCTATCACAAATCGAAAACATACATAATAATATAAAGAAAAAACGAGGCGAACAAAAGATGAAAGAAGGAAGTTAACAAAATATAAACATTGAAACAAATTTTTGTGTGTATAGGGTTTGTACATTTGGGAAAACGCACTTGAAAGGAAGAGTATACGTTAGAGTTCAAATAGATTGAAATGTGTTTAGTTACTTAGTCATGTGTATTATTATTAATACTACTATTAACAGCGAGATTCAGAAACAATAAGAACAGACCATCATTAATAATAACAATAATTAAGGATGTTACTAATTGAACGCAATAAATCTATTCACAGAATATATGACATTGAATATTGGTGAGGAATATGGTAAATTAAACGAAAGAACCAAGAAGAAAAATCAATTTGGAACAGAATGTAAATATCTAGTAATTACACTGATATCATTCCCGAAGGCAAAAATGAAACATTTGATACGGGACTTACACAATCGTTTTATATGGCTTCCTTAGGAATTATCAATGGTGTACACAGGCAATGGCGCATGCATTGTAAAAGGCAAAAAAAGTAATAGTTTTAGTTACTGTGCATTCTTAGATCCACTTGCAGAAAGAAACAGAGCATCAATAGGAAAGGCTTATATTGTATTTTATTGTGAAGTATTGAGAGTGTAGAGATAGACGACCCTCAGGAGAAAATAGTGTTATGAGGATAATAACAGACTGAAAAAATAAAACCGACAAATTGCTACTTTTCAAATAAGGTGACACGACTGCACGATAAATGAGAAGAAAAGATGTAGTGAGATTAACAGAAGAGATCATTTTGAAGGAATGAAAAACAATACTATACGAATACATAGGTACTACACTAAAGACTAAGAAATAACTTACATAAATTTCCATAGCTCAATTTGGTAGACATAAAATTAACGAACAAAAATGAAACACCCGGGACAGTTAGAAATACAAAAATACATATAAGTGAAACAGGGGTGGTCATAATCTACTTAGATGACATAAACAAGTGTGCTTAGATATTTCATTACAGATGTTAACAGAAAAGTGCAGATAAGGAATCCTGAGGACATTATCAGAAGTCTAAGAACGAATGATGCTGTTGAGTGGAGTGAATATATAGGAGATAATAAAGAAAGAATTGGAAAGTACAAACATGTCTGAATAAAATTTGGTCGGAAATAACCACTACAATACAAATTGGACAATGTAGAGGATCTGACAGAAAAGATTTACACACATGTAAAGTGATCATTAGGCCTGTACAAATGCGTATATGTGAAACGCATACAGACAAAGAACACACTTAAAATCACGAAAAACATGTCATTGTGGGCTGTATCGAAACAAAGATATTATGACCCAGCATAGTATTTTGGAAAAAAAAAACGAGAGGTACTGCATAAAAACTATACCGTTGAGCATGTATTAATATTATCCAAGATCTTTCACAGTCATAGTTGTAATCTGGCACTTCAAGTATACAGAAAAGTAAATAACTTCATTTGAAGTGGGATATAAAACAGATCAGTATGCAAACGAAAGTGTTATTGATTAAAGTTTGAGGTCATTAGCGATCTGGGAAGCGATGCTTTTAAATCCAATAGAAGTTCCTGAAATTCTTTTAAAGCGAACTCCATTTAGAGACAAACGAGGAAGTTTACAAACTTCCATTTCCCACTGAACATTCGCATCTGTGCTTGGATCTCCATGCTCACATATGAGAAGGTATCTTTCACGTTGATCATATTCGCAATTATTGGCTGTGAGGACCTTCTTGATCTCTTTAATCATGTTATCCGGGCACATGCTACTGGTTGTTTTCATAGACCAAGTGAAACGTAAACTTCGTGGTTTCGTTTGATCATTAACATTATCGTCAGTATGAGGAACAGTTTGATTCCCGCCTTGAGGAACAGGAGAACCAGCAGAGCTCCCTCCAGGTGTTAACTGACTAACAGGTTCGGTGTATGCGCCATGTACACTGGAGTCAGAAAAAACTGAATCTCCAGGTAGATAACCTGATCCCGAGCTGGTTGTGGAAGCTCCAATATTAGAATCCGCCGTTGAGAATGGAACATGTGAAATATCAGTGCCACCAGTAAGTGCCTGAGACATATTGCCCATTGCACCACTATTAGGTCCACTAAAAGCAAAAACGGCATTATGAGACTTATTAAATCATAAATTATGAAAATAAGACAAGTACAGTACTTATTTCATCACTGAAAAGTAATGAAAGCACAAAATTCAGGTAACGTTTTAACCCGATTTAGAATTAAAAAAGACCTGTCATCTAACAGTTTTAAGCACACAAATCAAATTATTAAGAGCCGAGTTCTCAGGCTAGTAAAATTTAGCCGTTCTATTAAGGAAGGAGACTATATGACCCGAATTATCCAACGTTTCTAGCCCGACTTTGACCGTGTCTACCAATCCATCAGTCGAAAGATATTTCATTTTAGAAACGATGATTTTCGATTCGGATGTTTAGTGAGTTGTAATTGTCAATCTTTCTTAAATCAAATCACTATATCTGATAGATGAAATAATTTCTTCGGTAAGGTAATCATATAGTTCCAAAATTCTAGTATGAAGCCATGGAAAACTTGTACAACCAAGGTTGTACAAGTTTATTTACAACTTCGAGGTGGAAGGTAATCAGTACATACACATATCTAGATGAAAGGAAGAAATGTTCACATCTTGACACTAAGAAATGTGAAAAACTTACAATAAAGTATTCTAATTACTCTGTGCTAGTGTCGATTGAACAGCTATAGAATTGAGGTAATAGACTTGCGAGGTATTGGTACTATGACGCTGCCATACTGAGGCAATGGATTAAAGTTAGGTTAGGTGATCAATAAGTCATCAGTTTACTACTCATTATTGTATAGTTGAGGATGAAAACTGTTTAATGTCACTAGAAGATAACCAAGAGGTAGGAGTGACTGAAGAAACTGATACGAAATTAAGTCTAATCCTTACAATCGTTTACAGGTGGAATATGTAAGTTTTCAAGGCATTAAAATTTATATCATACTGTAAGATTATTATGTACTAAATACCCGGAAAAACAGCTAGTAATTTTAAACGACATGATTCAGCAGGATAAAATGAATGGAGAACACCTTACCGTCGACCGATTTTGGAAGTGAGTGCCTTGAAGAAGGTAAGACCAGTGCCAGAAGGAGTTAAGTGAGTCATACCACTACTATTTGTAGCCCCAGCACCAGCAAGTGAAACATTGATACAACGAGCAGCGACTGTGTTGTTAGAATTTTGATTATTTGTATCGAAATCAAAGTCTATGTTTGGTGAATTTGTTGAATGAATAGTTCTACGTTCTGGTGTAAGCCTAGGGAAAGGTGTAGTCTCTAAGATAGTTCCTATACCATTGTTAAATCCAGAAGACGTGTTATTATTGGTATTTGTAACTACACGACGTGCGGCAACAGAGGTAGCGTTACAACCCGCCTGGTTAGTTGACGTACCCACTCTGGAATAGAATTAAAAATTTGTTTTCATTAAAGGGTAAATAGTAGATTAGGAAATCAAATATATAATTTGGAAAGGTAGTATTGAACTACGTTATTGTGTTAAAAATCGGACATTGATAAAACGAAAACATTTGCACATTGAATAAAAATCCGTTATCCCTGGAAAATGTCAAGTAAGAATTTTTAAAATCTAGTTATCATCTAGCCATATAAATCAGAAACGTGCAAATACATAAACACAAAACTGACCTAAATAGTAAATAAAATCAACCTCATTGTTTTAATGAACTGAAAAGAAATCAGATTATCACTAAGATCACGCACAAAAAGGACAACAAGCCATTGTATATAAAGAAGAACTGATGGTAGAAACAAACTGGAAAATGTTGTTTTATGATAAACTTAATATTCCGCGTTTATAAGTACTCAAACGTGTACCTTAAAACATCGAATAACTCAATGTCATTTCTTCCTCTAATAAAATAATAGTCGTTAGGTTCGTCTAAATTATGTGAAGTCGGCACATACAGAGTAAATGAGTTTAAGGTACAGCAATTTAAAATGAAGAGTTAACAATTAAAATAATGATTGATATGAATGAAGTTAAGTAGTTACCATTCAAAAGAAAAGTCAAAGTTTAATGATTTCTACGCGGGAGTTTGATACTTAAATGATAACAATTAACGGAATAGCAAATACATTCAAACAAATCGATGACAATGAGATATCTGATTATCTTATCGTATCGTTAGCACGTGGAGACGATACAATTTTCAATGTTATGCTTCCTTCCCTTTATTTTATCACTAAAAGACTTATAATACCTGGGTTACTGCAGTTTTATAAATAACATTGTTTTCTTTTGATGAGATATATGTAGACAGACTTTCCAGCCATAATCATAACAGACGTGTAAGTGTTCCTCATAATTTTATTTTCTTTTTAACATTTTGGTAGTAATAAATAAAAAATAGTACACAAAATTAAAATAAAACTAATATATCATAACTATGTATCGATTACTAATATGTATATATATAAACGAACATAAATTAATGGGCGAAAAAACACCAGTGCAAAAAATAAAATGAGGGCGAAAGACTCTAGATGTTTTGAATCCATTAAAATATAGAATAATCGAAAGTTAGTGCTATTTATTTTGAGAATACAACATCTGATTGATATCAATTTGTGATGAAGTCTTCTGTAACTATCACAAATAGTAAAGCCGTAATTAACTAGAAGAATCAATCATAATGAAAGTTGATTTGGACCATGGTTTATCAGTAGGAGTAGAACAATTTATAAATCGCCACAATAACAAAACGGGAACACATACAACCTCATTTAACTATCACAATTAGATTATGATGACTGGTGATAAATAAAAACTGATCCTACGCAAGAAAACAATGAGAAGATCAATGCACAAACCAATCTGTATTTACCAAAAGAATTATACATAGCATCAGTAACATCACCGACGAGTTTCATGGACTGAAACTAAACAATTATGGTTTGACGCATGACAAGAATCGTGTAGTTCACAACAAAACTCATTTTAGATTGATTAATTATCAGTTAGCCGTAAGAGTGATTACAAAGTAGTAGTCTGTTTACAATTATTAACAACTATAAATGATTGTTTTATTTGAAGAACAATTACATATGGGCGACAACTTAAATAAACAACTTGTAAACCCAGTGAAAACAGTTTTTCAACACTCAAATATGATACAGATCAAAAGAAGTAGAAAGTGAATGAAAAGTACTGAATTTCCCTGTAGCAATCTGATAGACCATAAACATGGTAGATAATAACGACCCTTTTTTTTAATGTAATATCAACGAAAGACATTAAAAATAATAAGCTAGTTGAATTTTTGTGTGTAATGGATTTTTCAATAGCTTAAAATATTACATGAATCAGTCTCTGTAGAAATGAAACTTATAGAACTAAAATTCGTGATCGCCGTTTTGAAAAGCAAGACAATATGAATTATTTCCGACGCAAGTGTCGAAATAATTGGTAAATATTACCAGAAACCAACAAGATAAAACAGAGAACCTCCAACTAGAGTGAATTGGTTTAAGTTTACATTGTCTCTAATAATATCAAGGAAACAGAGAGAAGTGGAAAAAATGGAGGGTAGGAAGACGAACTAATGAACACATAAATACAACTACAGTTAATGATCGACACGCTTGAATTATGAATCAGTCCCTAATTTGACCGAGTAATACTTCACAAATACTTATAATTGAATGTCATAAGCCCTGTCCTCTATTCGTTTTCCATTGAGTTTTAAGTGGAAAATTGTCTAAAACGAACTTCACAGAGTTCCTAAGTTAATAACATAATATACTTTAACAATGTAATAGACAAGTTTCAAACGACACTATGAAGCAACAAAAATAAAAAAAAAAACGATAAAAGTGATTAATCGAGGTATATATAAACATAGAAAAATGAAATGTTAAATATTTACGGTTACTACGGAGCTTTGAAAAGTTTTTATCCACGGTGCTAAGGGTATTCAACCGAAGTTAGAAAGCGAACAAGTAGCCTCATAAACACGAACACACCATTATGCATCAAAACGTAAGCGGGAGTTGTTGAGATGGATTCTTTACCTTTTCCTAATAAATCTAAAGCTATAATAATGAAAGCTGCTCACATAAATTTGTCAAAAACAATAACAAAAAGACAAAAAAACCTTAGACTTTGAAAATGTACACAAGACGGTTACTACTTTTGTTGCGGCTCGGAATACATAGTTCCGAAGTTGGATATCGCAAGTAGATTTTTAGCAGGCTTTGGGAATTGATGATAATTTTCGGAAACCTGTTTTAGAGGCTCCCCAAAATGGGGGTTATGGCTCTTTAGATAAAAAAAGGATAGTAATTTTTCAGCATTATTCGCTACACTCGAGTCAATCCCAGTAACTGACCATGGAAGATGGAAAAACAGTACATGTCGTCTTTAGTGATTAATTAAGAGGTTATCGATAAGTCATCAAAACCTTCGTCAAATATACATAACAGTTACTAGCTTCCAACCAAAATAAAGTATTTTGAAAATAAGCACGAAATTATTTTAGCACTTATAAAAGAGTGATAAAGTAAGATCACTCGAACAATCGGGAGAAAAGTAGTGGGGAATTTGTTGTTGCAAGCTAACTATGTGGTATCAAGAATGATCAGTGTAAATTCATATTTATAAATGAAAGGATATTTCATGTAAAATACAGCTAATTTAGCTATTTATGTAGTAGTATCTACACTGACATTTTGTTGTTGAACATACAAATTAGATAAACATTTTACCAGAATCAATTTTACATATGAGAATACTAGGTAGTGTTCCATTTTAAATACCCTAGAAATAAACTTATCAAATTGCCAGTACGCACTAGGTACAAAAGTGAGTTGAGTACGACTAGTATCAGGAAGCAAGCTTCTATAAGTTAAGATAAAAAGGATCAATTTTCGCAAAGATCGTAAAGAGACAAGATCAAATTAACTATTGATAAACAGGTGTTTCTTTGTTGTTTTCAGACGGAAATCCTCTAACGATAATCAATTCATTTACCAAAAAATTTATCCAAGGAAGTGTGACTGCAGCTAATTAACATAGTAGAGGACTAATTAGAGACAATATTGTCAAAAATACCGAATAAACTTAGCTATGATGCAGAAAAATGTAAAGAAAGTAGTATGATTGATGAGATTGAAGGATATAACCAGTCTTCGTGAAAATCTAAAGTTTACAAAAACATAATGAATCAATGAGACTACACTAGTTACAATCCATGCGCCGGACTCAAGAATACGCGAATGAAGTCAACTAGTATTATCTTATACATGAGCATATTCATGTATACAAGAGCGAGTGCCTGGATTTCCAACTAACCGAATAAATCATATATGGTTTACAAGTCAATAATTAACAAGTGAGAGCTGACAGTGATATTTCACACATAGAATATGTAATCGCAAGTATGATAAAGTTGAACTATTCAATTATAGTCTTACTGCTATTTTGCTTTAAGGTAAAAATACTATTTTCAATTAACTGCTTTCAATTTTTGTTAATTTCTCCTCGCTGTATGTAGTGTGGCAACTTGGACTAATATAATCTTCTACCAAGTTGTACGTATTTTAAAATAACTAAAACCTAACTTGCACGTTCGAGAGATGAATACTATAGAACTGCATCAGACCGTATACAGTAACTATACAAGAATCAAAGTATCTGATAATGTAATAAAGTAGAAAGTCTCAAATACAATAAAAGTTTGTTTTACTAATTTCGGTAGATTTGTTTAATTCATTTATTACACCTAATAAAAAGTTCACGAATAAATTAGTTAACGTGAAAAGAGAAAGATATAAAATGAATATTTATATCAAACGAAATCCAACCACAACGTAACATGTAAAATGTGCATCAAAACCCAGGTAAACCGAAATGAGGTGAAGAAAGGAGGTTAAAGCAAGACAAGAAAACGCAATATATGATTATCAATTATATGTAAAACGGTGAAGTAAATATTTATAGATGGACAAAAATAAAATTATACATATATATATGTATACACCAAAATGATATAAATATTTTTATCGCAACAAATAACGATACAAAAGGCAAGGACATTAGTTTTTTAACAAAACATAAACATTGTGAGTTAATTGGACTAGTGGTACAACATTGAGATACTCCTACCTAAGTGAACTATACGCTAAATCGTTGCGATTGAAAGATGTTACAGCATAATCGTTGACTCTGCAATACAAAACCATCATTATGAAAAGAAGAAAATTCAGTTTGCATCAATAACCATAATACAAAATAATTAGGAAAGAAATATGTCATTAATTGTAGCGGAGAGGAACTTTCGACCAATAAGTCGGTAGGACACTTAATCTACAGATATCGAAAAGTTAAGAGAAACACTGATAAGCATTTTCAGATTATTACATTTTAAGTAAGCCTCGTTCTGATGAAAAAAGAATAATTACATACCCGCTTCGACCGACAATATTGGCACAAGGTTGATTACGATGTAATTCTCCAGTTCCAACTACATCACTTCCACGTGTGGAAGAAGCACATTGATTTGATGAAGTTCCATTACCACTAGTACCAGGACCTGCAGTATTCAACGTTGCAGATCTTTCCAATAATAAACCTGCATGATAAGCACCACCAGTACCACTAGATATATTGGCACCATGATGTACTTTGTTAGTACGCGTAGTCATAGGAACAAGTGCAGGAGTAACATGGCTGAAAGTTCACAAAACAACGTGGTCCACAAAAAATTTATTACAGTAGAAATTGTCCAAAAGAATGAGCATTGAATTTTATAATTTCAACAAATAAATTGATAATTTACCAATGAACTATATGCTGAGCGAAAACCAAATGGACATTATCCGTGAAAAGGATAAATTTCCCTGACATTCAAGACATCTGTTGCTCATATCAAGGAAAACAATATACATTTTAAACTTTTAGATGATTGCTTAATATGAGTGGAATCAAATAATACTTCAATGACGATAAGTCGTTACTTGTGTGATGTGCACCTCATATGTGGACAGATATAAGTAGTATGTAGCAGGAATAGGAAGTGGAATGTTTAGCAGCAGAAGATTAAAATAAAGAGAAGAGGAAGGGAAACAAAGAGCAATTTGATTAACAGTTGAATTGGAAGAATGATGGACTATGTAAAGGACAACTGAAGGAAGATATCTAAATGACTTATTTAATGTATGATTTTCAAATTATACAAAGGCACCGTTTAATTTTGTATAAACCAATATATTGGTTTACCATACCTGAGTTTTCCTCCACTACATTTGGAGCTTTGAATTGAGTGAGTCTAGATCGAAAAGGAAAAACTATTTCATTGTGAATTATATATTAAAATAGGCAGTGATTATAAACATAAGTTAGTTTCAAGTATTTTTGTACACGCACGAATTCTGCAGTAAAAACGACGAACATATGTGAAAAGACGAGGACGGGTCTCAGATGCAATCAGTGGGGCAGAAATATGTAATATACAGTCTACTCCGAGTGTACAGCAGTCTAATTTCTTTAAACTAAGTCCATCATGTCATCAATTAGTGCACGGGAGTGTTTTTCATACTATTAAGATCACTATATAAAGTAGACGTATTTGCTCAATAAGCACTAAATATTGATAATATTGTGCCATAACTTTAAAATGCTTATTACAGGTTAAAATGGTATGCTTTCAGTATGGGGTTGTAGAGATTGTTGAATTTCATTGAAATCATGAACTGATCAACGGTCGACCACCATTGAAAACCTAGGGACACTGAACGTCTGTTTCATCCTAGTATGGGACTTCTCAGCAGTGGGAACCCATGATCCTGAAACCGGGAAGCAAGCCCAGGAACTTCGGTTGCACGAGCGAACGCTTAGCCAATAGACCACTGACCGGCATCCAACGGTGTTGATGTCTAATATTAATCAATTCAATACATCGAATGACCATCTTTCATTGTCATAGGTGAGTAACTGCCTCAAACCCGATGTGTATTATATCCCGATGGGAATAATGAATAATAACTATTGGGATCTATTTCTGGACAATTACTAAACGTATATTTTTATCGTATAATTGTTAAATGACTAAACTATTCATATTCGTGTTTCTCTTATCATAAGCCTTATAATGACCTGTGGACTATTATTATACCCAGTCTATCAATTACTATCTCTCTTATTCACAGCCACATTTGGCTAAATCTTGTACAAATGTTGTTTCCTATTTTATGTTACGATGTGGTCTGTCTGGTTGGTATATAAACCCAGTATGTTCGAAATAAGTGATTCATATCGCAGAGGTTAAGATTAGTGTTCTGGACTCAACTGGCTGGGTTAGGCGGTAAGCAGGACCGATAAGGACTCTAGACTGCTTGTACGGGTTTTATGCATCATTGGTCCGATCGATAACTCACTGTTCTCTAACTGGGGGCATCATCACGTCATACATTAATAAGGACACACGGCACAAGTTATAACACGGTGTACATCTAAGACCGCATAAGGAGCATAGCCAAGTTCATTATACAGGTAACTTTACAGGAACAATCACAACCAAACACAGATTAGGGAAATGTTTTATACATTTCAAGCTACAACGAAGGCCAAAATATTAGATTTAATCTTTATTATGGGTAATTTTTAGGCGTTCGCGAAAATAAAGATTGCGATGATGACCAGCAAATAAACACAAGACTCACATAGAACAGTTTTTTTAAGTTAATATAATTTATGAATTGTGTAAAATAAACGCAGCTGTTCGGATTTGACATCTGCTCATATTCGCTCCCCCCATAAAATTATCGAACGCTTGTGAAAAGCAGCACTAATCTGATTTTAATTAAAGCATTATTAATATAAATGGTGTAAAACTATGACAGTTGCATGCATTTACTCTGAAACCTTCATGTTGCTTCAAACTTCATTTCTTATTACTTGGCTCTTCTATTTAGTGGCGAGTTGTTAGTAATATACATGAAATGTGTATACTATGAACAGTATATATATATATAAAACTAAATTTTGTTCTCTATAAAATAAATATGTGCATATATGTAACAAAAATGTGCGCCAGCCTCCAGATTTACGTAAAGTATAACGCAACGCAAGAATTATAAAAGATAATGACCTTACAAATTATACACATCATCACATGACAACAAAATCACACACAAATACAATTAGCATGAAAAATCCTCTCGTCTGATCGATTATCACTAACATTACCATCATAATATAATACACTAAACACATCAATCAAATCAATATTAAGTTTTAAAGAAGTCTAAAATATTTCTATATTATTAAAAAATGTACTTGAGTACCTTTTTTCAGTGATATTCTGCACATACCTAAGTTTGTTGTTGGTAATGCCAAACGTTGATATGTTGAAAGGAAGCACACATTTACTGAATAGTGTAAGTTTTTTTTGTTTGAGAAAGAGTAGTAAGAAATTCATACAATAATCAATGGTGATTGAACAGAGTTGTCGGTAATAACACAGACTTGGTTGATCCCAGTTATTTTTAACTAACTACATGAGTATTTGAGAGGCAAGAACTTGGGAAAACAGAAGAAAACTTTACATTTCCCTATTCAATTCAGTAATTACGCCTAAATATATATACTGAATGTGTGCGAACGATTGAGACTGACTTCAAGCGATTAATTCTTAAAGCTAATAGTGATATCGTAAGGAGTCCAATTAGGAAGTATATTTTTGCTCCATTAAATACAAAAATACACTGAAAAGTAAGCGCTGTTGCTTGAAACCAAATTAATTTATTCAAGTGAAAAAATGTAGAATTGGATAATTTATTTACAACTAACCTTCGAATTTCATGAGATGGTAATCTTCCAGCACCATTGGTTGTAACTTGATTGTTACCACTTCCGCTTGATGACCCAGATGTAGATTTATCAGACGAAGGCGATAAAGCAGATCCACTAGAAAGACCAGTGATACCAGAAAGAGCGACTGAGTTCCTAGGATTAGCATTATCAAATACACATGTATTGCGTCCACTTGCATTTGTATTGATCGGTTGACGCCTAACAGAATGTTGTTGATCTCCAGATGTTGGGGTTGCTGTCCCATAATTCATAGTATGAGTACGGCGTGCTTTGTGAGCAGAAAACAAATTACATGAGAATTGCGGTATGAGAAAAAATAATATAACTATAAAATAAAATCACAACATACTAAGAACTTTTGAACCTTACTCTTGGCCATCTGAACTAAAATAATGACAATAAAGATTATACAACGAAACAACCTCATTTAACTCTACGTTTTCTTATAGGTTATAACTAGTCTACAATAATAAGAACTACTATATATCATAAGTAAATAAATAGCATGCCTTAAATATTGTCATAGTCGAAAATGCAGAACCCACTAACGAGAAAAAACTATAAGAATCAATATTTCGGTAAAATAATTAAAACATATGGTTACATGTGATAGGAGGGACAGTTCTAAATAAGAGAAAAGAGGAAGAAAATGAAGGGACTTGTTCATAATAGGTACATAGTTGTAACAATAACCGTGAAATTGGTGAGATGACAATTACTATATTAAACGAAAAGATATAGTGGAAGCTTTATGCTTTGAATTGTTTAACAGTCAAAAAAACTGGAAAATTATGGTCAGGTATGATTGTCTTACATTCAAATTGTCATTTGTATAGACGAGAGTAAGTAAACAGAAACAACAGTAAGGGAAAATGAGTGATACTGTGTAGCGCGTAACTGGGACTCCACGATAGTCAGTCAGTAAGCTACAACGTAGGACCAGGCACATATATGCATCGGTCCAGGTTGCCATACCGCATCAGCACAACAAGATGAACACCGGATTCATAGGAGTGGTTAGGTCAAAGGTGGTAATATATAAGAGAAAGATTGCATATAGAGATATAGTACAAGAAGAAAGAATTGGTTCGTAGAAAGAAAGATATGAAGTGATTTTAATCTCTTAGTTTAAGGGAAGACAGGGAGTGTATACACCGACGCCATTGTGATCGATTCTGAGCCATGTCACCAAGAGTCTCCAACCATTGGTTACGATAGTCACGCGGACCCCAACCAAGTAGTCTGCATCTACCAACATGGCTCAGACTAGAAGTTAGTGACTTCAAGCACTGATGCCACGTTTTGGTTTGGCCGCCCCTAACTTTCTTCCAACCATCTCCAATACCGGTTAGCATTGCACGTCGTGGTAATCGGTGTTCAGGCATACGTAACACGTGGCCCAACCATCTCAGTCGATGAAGATTCATAACCTCATCAACTGATTTACCATCATTCCCTAATACCCTGCGTCTAACCTCACTATTACTTACCCGGTGATCCCAGCAGATGCCAGCAATATTTCTAAGGCATCTGTGGTCAAATACTAGTAGCTTACGGGTGTCTTCTACTCTTAATGGCCATGTTTCGCTGCCGTAAATTAAAACAGAACGGACTGCCGCGCAGTATACTCGTCCTTTTATTGATAGACGGATATCTCGCCTTCGCCAAAGGTGACGTAAGTTGGCAAAAGCCAAACGAGCTTTTCGAATCCGTGCTGAGATTTCGTCAGACACCAACCCATTAGGGCTGATCAGACTTCCAAGATAAGTGAAGTTGTCAACGCGTTCGACTACTTCACTCCCTATCCTTAGTTCAGGTGTTGACGCAGACCAGTCCTGAAGCAACAACTTGCATTTAGAGGGAGAGAAGCGCATTCCAAACATTCTGGCATTGTTGCTTAGTGCTACCAGAAGACTCTGCATTTTGTCAGCGTCTTCACCAAACAGGACTATGTCATCTGCGTATTCTAAGTCGATAAGTGGACCTCCTGGATGGAGATCAATACCCGAGAATTCAGTCGACGAGAGTGTTATTTCCATCAATAGGTCTATGATGAAGTTAAACAAAAATGGAAAAAGTGGACAGCCTTGACGGACACCACTTGAGGTTGCAAAAGTAGATGACAGTTCGCCATAAGCTCTGACTCGACTAGTAGTGTTCGAGTAAAGAGCCTTCACAAGGTTTATGTACTTCTGAGGTACGCCTTTCAATGACAGACACTGCCACAGAATCTCGCGGTCTACAGAGTCAAATGCTGCTTTTAAGTCAAGAAAGACCACCATTGTCGGACGCCGATAAGTATGCCTGTGTTCTAGAACCTGACGAATGGTGAATATGTGGTCGATGCAGCCACGACCAGGTCTAAAGCCAGCTTGGTTCTCTCGTGTTTGCAGTTCACGAGTCTTAGTTAGGCGTCTGATAATTATCGAGGCTAGTATTTTAGATACTATATTAGTTAAACTAATCCCTCTGTGGTTGTCACAGGATGATTTTGACCCTTTCTTATATATTGGGACGATAAGTGATTGTGACCAGTCAGATGGGATAACGTCTAACTCCCAGATCTTAGCTAAAATATTAGTCAACCTAATCGCTAAAATTGGACCACCATCCTTAAAGACCTCTGGAGCCAATCCATCTGGACCAGCTGCCCTTCCTCGTTTCAGATTAACTATAGCCTTTTGAACTTCAGCAAGAGTTGGGGGACCTACTTCAATGTTCCATTCACACTGTCTGGGAATGGAGGGTAGTTGTAGAGTAGCTGAAGGCCAGCTGAACTGTTCTCTAAAATGTTCCGCCCATCGTTCTAAACGTCTGGACTGGGAGCAGATGAGAGTATCGTCTTTTTCCGAAATAATCTCACTTACACTTGACTTATTAATTCCAGTTTCTTTTATTAGTCTGTAAAGCTGTCTTGTGTTCCCTATAGTCGCCGCCTTTTCCATCTCTTTTGCTTTCGTTGCCCACCACTGCTCACGGTCGTTTCTTAGACTTTTTCTTAACCTAGATCTGATTTGTTGTCGCTCTTCATCATGTTCGGAACCTGATGGGACGAGTTTGCGAGAATCCATCAGTGTGATAGACTTGAAGAAATCCACTGGTTCTTTGTAACTCTGTGGTTTAAGTCACTAATAGATGTCACTGCTGTTTCCACAGCTGCTTGTATGTCTTTCCAAGCAACATCTGGGTCAGCCTCGTCTTCAGAACTACCTAAGTGTGACCTCAGTTGTTCCTGGAACCTACTTTTGGTTTTCTCGTTACTCAACTCAGTTCTAATGGGTCTTTTTAATGTGGCTTTTTTGCGTCCAGTGAGGCGCAAGCAGATGCGTGCCCGTATTAGGGCATGGTCGGAGTCCAAGCAGGTACTCCAGAATGAGCGACAATCTTCTACCGACCCTCTCCAACGATGACTGATGGCAATATGGTCTATTTGAGTCCATCGTTGGTTTGGTGTAGGGGGTCGCCATGTTAGACGATGTCTCTCCTTATGCTTAAAATTTGTGTTTGCTAAAAATAAACGATTGTCTGAGCACAGTTGCAGCAGACGATCACCATTATCTGTTCGCTGTGCCGGAATACCCACCTAAATGCCTTTCTGTTTGGTTTAAGCTACCTATCTGAGCATTAAAGTCACCCCCTACGAGTACTATGTCTGAGCGTTTAGCTTTCTGAAGAAGTTCGAAAGCTTTCTGTAAAATTCATCTTTCACTTCATCTGAGCTGCAGTCAGTGGGAGCGTAGGCAGAAACGACGAAAAGGCAACGACGTGTGTCCCTATCCTTCCGAGTTCTTACGGGCCGTTTAGCCGAACAGCACATAGACGACTGTTGACGGGGATCCACTCTAGCAGTGCTTGTTCCGCCCTCATGCTTAGTGCTATGCCTACACCTGCCAGTCCACGAGAACTGGCCATCGGGTCACCAGATACACGAAGGGTGTATCTCGTTGGCTCTCCGTTTTGCCAAGGTCCTGTATGCGTGTTTCGGAGACACAGCATACATCAATGGAAAGAGACTCTAGGGTTTTAGCCAAGGAAGCCTGCTGACCGATTTGACATAGGGTGCGTACGTTGAAGGCTCCAATGTGTAGTTTGGAGCGAGGTTTCAGTAGACCTGGGACAGTGTTTTGAGCACTAGAATCGTTGGCTATGGTGACACTTGAGGAGGAAGCCGAAAGAGGAAGTTTAGAGTTGAAAGTCGATGTAGGAGGAATAATAGGAATTGAAGAGGAAGGTTGATTATGAATACAGTGGTCTTGAGTGCTGTTAGAGGTATGAGGGCGGTTATCACTTCCCGGTTGCCCACACCGTGGAAGGGTTCTTCTGGAGGTACCTGAAAAGGAAATTGGATTAGAGGTGGTCTCAGTGACCTGAGAGCGTGACCGCAGTGCCCAAGGGACAACTGCTTGAGGCCGGTCGCGCACGGCCTTTTCGTGGGAAGGTTTTGACGTGTTAGCTCCGTTCTTCAAAGGGCCTTACCGCCGGAGACGGAAATCCGTGAGGTAAGGTGAGGTGTGCATTTTTAGGGTCGACCTTTTCTAACCCCACCCCTCCTTGTGGGAAGGCAGCATCGCTGTCATGCTGGTTGTCTGAAGGAAACACCTTACTGCTGTCACACCTCTGTACAGTCAGCAGTACGACTTCGCCTTCGGACCTTGGGTTTGTTGCTTTTAGTCTTACCGCTCTTCAACCGACCTGTCTGACATGGTAGGACCTTGAGGAACGGTTGTTCCAGCCAGTATAGCTCGGTTGCTTCATCACGATAAGCAAGCCCGACCACCACGTCAAGGTAGCAACAACGGTCGGGACTCCACGACAAGTGAATGAGATTGAAATATTTATTATTCCAGTCATTCTCAACTTTAAAAAAACGTGCTGTCAACTTCATTTTCCCATTTATTGAATGTACATTTTAAAAAAATCACAGAAAGAAGTGAGTGAGCTTATAGACGTTACGGGATTCGAGTTATAAGTTAAATGTTTAGAGGTATAAGCTTCACAAAACACAGGAACACTGTACGTATAATGGTAACAAAATTACATTAGGCTTACAACATCCTTACATAAAAGGAGTGAATATAATTAACTAAAATCCGATGAAGTTGGACATAATCAGGAGCAAAAGGGAAAGAAAACCTATCAGTGAGGAAAAAATGATCAATTACTGGAATAAAAATGGTGATTGAAGTAGAGTCAAGATACAAGAAGCTTAAAAATCACTACCCTGAAACATACAGGTTTAGTCAACTTAAAAAATTATTTGTATCCCCACTGTTATTGAAATGAAAAATTCGTATAGTATCAGGAGAGTAACAAGTACCACTAAATAATGTAGTAACATTTGAAAAGGACAACATAAAAAAGGGATGGACATTAAACACGAAGCTTAAACAGAAAAGAACTAAATAATATTACCCATAGCTGAGTTGGAGTTTGGTGATGATTTCGTGTTTGCACCCAGAGCTTGTGAAGTGATAGGAATGGGTTTTCTCTGGCCGGCAGTAGTTGGACGAACTGTGCTGGTACCTGCATCAATACTTGTTCGTTGGCCTGGAACATTTGGATAAGCTGTAAGCCCACCCCCACCAACAACTGGAGTGGCCATTTCATCAGTAAAGCCTCGTAATCGTGCCAAAATCCGGCTAGATTCTTCCCTACCAGGACGATCTGAAGCACGAACAAGGTCATTCCGCATCAACTTAATTGATTCAACATTACTAGAAGGACATGATGCTTCAATTGCGTTAAGGGCTGTATTGTAATTCACGTTCGCGTTTCCACTTGAAGATGAATATGTATTTGTAGATGCCAAACTGACATGTGAAATGGGAGTTATTGTACTGGTACCTGTAGTTCCTGAACTTTCCGACCCAGAAGTGCAAGCTGACAAAGAGATAAAGGAAGTAGATAATAATCGTATGCTAACAATACGTCGATGGTCTATATTCTGCAGAATTATAAACAGCAATAATGTATTAAATAAATCTAATAAAACTGAAAATATAATTACATGAAGGAGTGATTATATTCACAGCTGGCTTGTTATTGGCACCATTATTGACTACCGTTACTGTACTAGGTGGTGTTGTACTCGTAGAACGAGTGGCACTTCCAGAATTGACCGTAAATTTGGAGCTTGAATGTGCGTTTTGATTTATTGGTCCAGTATCAGCATTTGTAGGTAAAACAGACAACGTATCATCTGGGCAAATATTTGAGGTATGTTCCACACTCGCACAATTAACACCACCAGTTGAGATTAGTGGACTGGCTGCAGGATTTGATGTAGCAGAAAGTAAATGAGTACTTTGCCTGAAAGGTGAATGAAATTAATTATTAGTTGGAAAACGCTTAACAAGAATAACACATAGTTGGCTGCATATTTATCATTCACAATTTAATAGTAGTTAAAAACAAACCAACTTTAGATAAAGTAATACCTTCAATTATAGTTTATTGACAATGAACTTCCGTCGCTTTAATTATTTAAAAAAGCTTCCATTCTTAGTGACTACTTAAAGAAAAATTTATTCTAGTCAGGCAATAAGAGATAGTTGTTGATGTGGGCATAATATTTATCCAATTTACCATAACGAATAACAAAAATGCTTTATAATCCAGAAAAGTAGAATAGAAAAGATAACTGTTATGTGACCAATCGGAGTAAATCTTTGGATCATACCAGATCAGATATCAACAAGCATTACTTATTTCTTTTATTCGTATTACAACATTTGTCCATTTTGTGAAGCACCTCTTAAATAATTAAGAATGAATGAGTCGGATTAACTGTAGAGTTAAGCTACGTGTAGCTTTCAGTTAGTTACATTGCATAAGACTTACAAAAACGATTGTACTACAAATATATTCTAGATCAACTAATCTATATTATGACGCAATTGTTTTGACGTGAACACAAAAAATTTGTGTTTTCGCATAATTGTTGAATACAAGTGACTTAGACAAGCCTCGTACACTGTACAGAAGAAAATAGTTTGGAATAATTGGTTTGCTGGATCTTCGTCTGTGTTCAGACCAAATAGTTGAAGTTTAGTTAGTATAGTTCTATGTGCTAGGTCAAATGATGGCTAACTATTGGTACCCTAGGGAGCTCTGGAAACCTTGACATATATAGTCAGCAAAGAACCTCGAACATCATTAAATTGTTTGAAAAGAACAATCAGGTTGTCAAAACTAAGTTGTTAATTGTAAATTTCATAAATAACTATTAATGGTAGATTTACCTTAAAGAAAGACTTGAACCATCACGTGAACTTGTATCAAGTGAAGAACGTCTTCTATCAAGGAGGAGATAAGTAGCCATTATGTCGTCAAAGTTTCCTTGAGTTAAAGACTTCTCTATTTCGTCACGACTGAAGCCCATATTGACCATAATCTCAATACGTACAGGATCAGTGTAATCTGGTTCGGGTTCTATGTACGGTGACAATACATTATCTTCATAACCAGTATTCATCCAACGATCTTTCATCACCATCTAATTTATTAGCAAAATGTAAATATAGGACGTTTACAATTCCTCAAATACTTCATAAATAATAGTTTAATAGAACCAAATTATGACTCATTAAGTCATGCACAGTGATTAAAGTAACTAACCTCTAAAGTGTATCGTTTACTTGGATTAAGGACCAACATTTTCTTCAACAAACTTTCGCAGTCTGTTGACATGTAGAACGGGATGCGATACTTGCCACGTAGAACACGTTCACGCAATTCTCTAAGTGTCTGACCATCGAAAGGAAGGGACCCACTGACTAATGTGTACAAAATAACACCCAACGACCACACATCAACTTCGGGACCATCATATTTCTTACCCTAAATAGTAGTTTTGTGGAAAAAAGGATGAGAAATTTATGTTATTGTACAAAAGTAAGCAAAAACTTCCCAGTGACAACAAAATCTGAAGAATATCACGTCAAACGTACTTGGAATAGTTCTGGGGCTGCATAAGGAGGACTTCCACAAAAAGTATCTAATTTCGTGCCTGGACTAAATTCATTAGAAAAGCCAAAATCAGCCAGTTTTATGTTCATATCGGCATCAAGAAGGAGATTTTCGGCTTTTAAATCTCTGTGAATAATATGTTTTTGATGACAGTACTGAACAGCAGAAACAATTTGACGGAATTTAGCCCGTGCTTCTTTTTCTTTCATTCTTCCATGAGCAACCAAATAATCAAAAACCTCACCTAAAAAACGAATGCGAAAAACGAAGCAATGATAGGTGGTGTGCTAAAAGGTTAGAGAAGACTGTTTCTTAGAAGAATGTAAGTATCGAGAGACTTCTATTTGTTACTTATTATCCAGCAAGTTGGTGGGAGAATTGTTTATGGTTATTATTAGATATTCGGGAAACTAGCCGATCATTGCTTTAGATGAGGAAGCCGGAGTGATTGGTAACAAAAATATGGTAAAGTTTCGTTATTCATAATCTATTTATTTAACAACGTTAACTAAAAGGATTCTGATACAGCCAAAATCTTATAGGAAAATCAGAAATAAGTACGGAATAATAGAACTGCTTCGTAATTTTAGTAGTATGCAGAATCTTCAACTCTAAGTAGTATAAATATTCAACAATCAAAATATAATAATGTAAACTAATAGTTTCTATCTAATAAGCCGACATTTGTATATAAATGACGAAACAGAATACCAAGTCAGAAATCGGTCAAATGTGTGTTAAATTGGTTGCGGTCGTGAAACCAACGTTTGTCTTACCACAAATCGAATAGCAAAATAACGATAATTCGGACCGAATTCATAAGCCCTCAAAATGTAGTACATGGTTCGATTACAACCACAACATAGAGTTAAATACCATCTTCAAGCAGGTAAAATTACGTCTATAAATGAATCGTCGAATACGTTATTGTAGTAAATCGTCTCAAGCAAATTAGTTCATAAAATAAGTAAATAGGCCAAGCAATCACAAAACTTATGACTAAGTAAGTGTATAAATGTAGTATGACGAGAGGGGTATTTTTATATAACCTAGAGGAAAAGTAATTAAAAACTTACCACCACTGGCATATTCCATTACCAAATATAAAATCTTATCGTTGTCAATAATTTCAAATAGCTTTACGATGTTTGGATGGTCCAGCAATTTCATCAGTCTAACTTCTCGGAAAAGCTAATTTATTGAATGAAACTAAAAGGATAAACAATTACCTTTTGACGGCTTGAAGGACTTAACTGGGTTTTATCAATAATTTTGATAGCGACTTGTTGTCCCGTAATAACATGACTCGCTAATTTGACTTTGGCGAAATTCCCCTTGCCTATAGTTCGTATAAACCTGTATTTTCCAACATGTGGTTGGTCGTCAATCACTCTCCAACGTAAAGGTCGATTAGGTTCTTGGATATTTCCATTATGTTGTTGATCTGACCTGGAAGGTGGACGAGCAGCCACTGGAGCCAGAGCAGCAGTGGCCATCGATCCAACGCCAGAATGAATCTGTGCAGAAGAGATCATGCAGTACACATAACATATAACATGAACTGGCGACAAAAATATGTAGCCTATGATAGAGAAATGAGTAACGTAAATGAGTTGTAGTAATATCTTAAAAAGAATCTATTCTCAATAAATTTCTAATTATATATATATATATATATATATATATATATATATATATATATATATATATATATATATATATATATATAGTTTAGCTGATACCAGCTGTGACTTTCGTTTGAATGCTATCACAACAATTAAAAAACCTAATGAAAGCATCAGTGACTAAAAATAAGTCTGTTATACGAGCTGGATAAATACATAAATTACCATACAATAAGCGCCATCGAACTTCGAAAATGAGCATGTATGGTTGCTTACTTGTTGCAGCGTTCTTCAGACAACAAACAGCTTGGCTTAACAACTAGCAATTATGGAGCATGAGAAACAAGCAAGCTAAGTAAATGCTATGAGAAATTTCAAATGATTCATAGCGAATCAAAAGTGATTTTAAGAGCTGTATGTTAATTAGTGGCTGATCATAGTTGCAAACAGTAAAAAGACGTATTTTATAATTCTAACAGTGAACAGGCTTTAACAAGGTAATAATGGTATGTATGACGAAATATAGAACAAAGAATTTTAATTAAATAAAAGTGGTTAAAATACGTAAAAATTTAGACAGCTACTTTAAGTGAAAAATTACAAAAACCACTCAAACAGTAAGCGTAGTTTAGAAAACAGAAGCACATAACACCAAAGCTTTACCTTAGAAAAACAGGAATACTTTGGTACTTTAGTACGTCAAAGAGATTTGGTATTTTTCCAAAATCATCAGAGTTGATAACAAGATGTAAACTAAAGCCAAATAATTGTGAACAATGGGTAGGCCTATATCTAAAATACAATTTGAGTGATACATGTTAGTTTTTGATCAACTATTTCTTTTGTTGCAATAGACTAACGAGTACAACAATTATACAGCTAGCCGTATGTCAGTCAGTCAGCTACAACGTAGGACCAGGCACATATGTGCATCGGCCCAAGTTGCCATACCTCATTAACACAACAAGATGAACACCGGAGTCATAAAAGTATTTAATTCAGAGGTGGTAATATATAAAAGAAAGATTGCATATGAGGATATAGTACAGGATGAAAGAAATAGTTCGTAGAAAGAAAGATATGAAGTGATTTTAATCTCTTAGTTTAAGGGAAGACAGAGAGTGTATACACCGATGCCATTGTGATCGATTCTGAGCCGTACATATTTTTAATGGTACAGTGCTTTTTAGTCATTTGGATTAAACACTGAAAAGACCGTGGTTAATAAATCTGGATAAGTAGAATGACTGAACAATCTATGATATGGGACAGAAATGTATCACTTCCGTCGTAATTAAAAGATGCAAAAATCTAAAGAGCTGGTAAAAATGTGTATTCGTTCAAATTCCTAGATCTTTTTGTTATGATATAGAAGGATTATTAACAAAGCGGAAAAGAAAAAGAGTGAAAATTATCATAATGCTAACAAAAATGGAAAATCAAGACAAAAGAAACGAATGAGATATCGTGCCAACTAGCATAATGAAACGGTATGGGTGCTGGCTAAATATGTGTGAATAATATGCCAACCACTTTTACTACTCATGGTTCGGAAATCTACAAAACAATTTACCAAATTTATCTAGTACTATACCAGTAACGTCAGTGTTATTAACTGAATGGCTTCAATGTTTCAAAAGCAACTATAATCAAATATTTGGAACTTGAAAGTTTGTTGTTTGAAACTAGTCATATAATACAGTGAACTATTCTTTGGTAATGTAACTAATTTGTAGAGAATAGATTGCGACACTCAAAGAGCAAAACTTCCTATGAGAAGGATAACGACACCATCGAGGTGCTCAGAAACAACGATCAGGGTTTAGGATAGAAGATAACGGTTATTTGTCCTTAAACTACTAAACCATCGCTTTGACTTAGACAAAACGAATAGCGAGATTTGAAAACGTTTAGGTGCATTTTACATTTATTACAATGTGCCATTACCACCAGCTCGTGAAAAGTGAAGTAGTTGATGCATGTTTTAGGGTCCCCTTTCAACGGGGCGTTACACTTTAGATTTTGTATGAACAGATCATTTTAATGGTGTTACAGGCGGCTCGTATTGATTCTATCGATCAGCAGTAAGAAAGACTTGATGTGCATAACACTGATCACTACTCAGTGACCAGTCAGTTGTAGGTATATCTCAACCCCACGGGCGGTCATTTATGGCCTGAACAACCCAGTGTTAACGTCTCTAACTGTAAACCTGGAATACAAAAGGCCAAATTTGTTGAGGGGTATTAATTCCTTCAAGTTTACAAGTACATTTTTCTAACGAGTTTTAAGTAGTACAAAACTTATGTCGAGGGCTTCCTGTAAATTACCGTCAACCATCATCTTACAAGCCTTCGCTATACACAGATTTCGTTAGTAACACCAGCGCGAACACTTACACCAATACAAAGATATACGAAATGGTCGTGGGTTGATATCAGCGTTATTATCTTGCTATACTCTAAAGAATCATTCAAATTAAGGAAATCACTGTAAACTGAATTCATTAACAATAATAATGGTAACCAACATATGCAAAAGTTTGTATACAAACTGAAGAAAAACCACTTCAATAGTATTAAAGCTAAGAATTTGGGAATAGGCATCTTCCTAAACTACTTTGGAAAGATCTATAAAAAACCACGCTTTGTGGAGTATCTACTACTTCGCGATGTAATAGTACGGTTCCAAAGCAATATAAAGTATACACTCGTACATTACGGTATCAGCTACACAATTTAGGGGCTGATGATATTAGGTAGTAGCCAAGACTGGAGCACATGTAATGACATTCCACTTGAAAACTAGCATTTAGACTAATGATTTGATACAACTTTTTTTAGATGTTTGACTAGAATAGATGTGACAAGTATACAACACTGCAAAATGGGACAAGAATTAGAATGCATTATAAACCAGAGAAATCAGGCCTTACTCGTCTAGTCATTGAGTGAGATTTGGTTTAGTTCGCACACATCCAATCAGCACGAAAATTTAACAATATGGAAGTCGGATGAGTCGAAATAATGATAAACACTGGCGTAGAAAACGCAAACGTAGTTTGAGAATGAAATAGCATCAAAAATTTAGAGAGGAAGATCAGGAATACATTCATTGCTTAACTGGAACTAATTTCGAGCTCTGTCGCCTTAAATATTCAGACAAATAAGACGATTACTGCGCGAGGTTGGGTTATGATATGTGAAAATTTTAACTAATGCACATTTGTGCCGGGTTCTAAGTTGTTAATTATTGGTTGAGCGAATGTTACAGACCACACTAGTGTTAGTTTATAGTTAAATGTTATCGGATAACCGAAAAATGTTCAAATAGTTTTAAATCTTAATTACCGTCACATATGTGGAAGCACTATGGATTCACACCATATAAATCAAGAAAATATAAGTAGTTCGAGCATACAGAGATAAATCGATGGTTATGCACACATTTATGTATCAGAATGCAATTAAATTCCGTAAACTGAGGTAAGAAGACCATGATTTGAGGCAGTGATTTTCATTTTCTGTCTATATTTCGTTCAGTAGCTCTATTTCGTCTTTACTGATAACATTTATACAAATAAGTGCAACGATGTAAAATAGCAATTTTATCAACGTCTGTTTGTATTGAATTGGATAAAAGCATAGACCGTATTTGTACAAATGATACTATTGATAGAAATTTTGATGGAAAATGAATACTTCTTTGAATCTATAAAAAGCATAGTGTGTTGGGACTTTACACGTTTCCTATGTCACCCTACAATTTAGAGATAACTTTTATTAACTGACCCGCAACATCAAGAGAATTTTGGAGTACGAGATTGGTGGGGTAAAATCTATCAGGACATGTAAACGCTTGGTGTAGCCAAATATGATGACTACATATAGGAACAAAGCTAGCAAAATCCAAGCTGAGGAAATAAGTTATTTAGGAGCTACGTAACACGATAACTACTGGGCAATTATTCACCTTGTATTCAACCAAATTAGAGCAGTCTTGAATCCTGATTCATCTACTTTGGTATGTGGAGCTTAGAAGCATAACTAGTCCCCACAATAAACGTGGTAAAAAGCCATATATATACATTCGCTTTATCATAGCAAATTGTCAAGCTGCAACGCAGACGCCAAAGTCGATAAAGAAACTTGAAGAATGTTTGTATTATTGGAAGTTAACGTCAAAATATGACTGGAAGTTGGTGGCAAAAATGTCACCAGTTACTGGTATATTGGGAAGATAAGAACCTGTATATATCGAGCGAGGAATGTTCAGTGGAGAATGGCATCAATGAGGCTAAAGAATGGAGATTTAGTTTGCACAAGAAGCTAACAAAAATCATATCTCAGTAATCTAGTAGATGTGAACGCTCCGCCACTTTTGGTTACAGGTATTCAAGACTATTAAAGGATCTTAAAAAACTATGAAATCCATAATTAGTTTATGAGCACTCACAAGACTTAACGGGATGGGACAATCTACAAAATCGCAACCATCTACCATCGAGTCCACAAGTAAGACATCAAATTTTACTTAGTCGAAATGCTAGAAACAAAAATATTATCTGATATACTATAGATAAAGGCTTTGCGCAAAAAAATCAATAGCTTAGGTAGGTTACCTTCAGCAAATAGTTCTTATTCACGAGAAATCAAAGCGGAAAACCAACTCCAGTTGACACATATCGTCCTAGAACAAGGCAGACATTACAAGTACATCGGAATTCAGATAAATTAAATTTGAATTATTTGAATACAATGAAGTCTAAAAACATTTGAACTAACTTATTAAAAACTTAATTGTTTTAATATGTAGAGAATAGAACCGGTTATTCAAATTTCACGCCACTTATTGATTGCAGGCTTCAATGTTGAACGCCTAATTGGGTAATTGCGCATTGCTTTATTAACCAGTGTACTGCTTAGCTTAAATCATCTTTTTAATCAAGAAACTATCTTCGTATTCCTAGAAAAATTAACGGACTTGACATTTTTGTATAGCCAAACGATAAACGGACGATCCCCGAGCTCCTAATTGTGGGAAAAATTTCACCCATTTTGGGGAAGCTACTGTTGTAAACTTTGAGGAAATGGCCCCAAAATTTACTTTCAACCTTAGTGAGGGTCTTTTGACCTTGGGGATTTGCCCAAAGTTCCCCAGAATTGCCCCAAAGTTCTCCAAACTTTGGTGTAGTTCATTCGACTTTGTGGGTTTCCCCAAACTCGGGAGATTGGGTCTGGCTAGATTCGTTCAATCTTGAATCTCGCTCAAACAGTACTCACTATTTTGTCATGTCTGTTGTATGGTAACTAGCTTTTCATCTCGTTCATGGCAGTGGTAGTTGCCAATCAGTATTTTCTTTATGTTGACCTTAACCATTCCATCTACTCATTTTTCATCTTGGTAAGAGAAATGGCAGTAAACTAATGTGGCCTGTTACCTACTCCGGTTTGGACACCCGGTCATATCCCAGCCCTCGCGCAAATCGAATAGTTTATGTGGCGCATATCTATTTGGTGCGTCGTATCAATCTCTGTGTTTTAATAGATAAATCGTCAGCGTATGACTAAACCGATGATAGGAGACTGACGGTCATTTATATTCAAGAGGAATAACACTAGCCGCAAAACTGTACCTTAAAGCACTCGACTAAGCACAGTTTTCCAGCTGGACGACGAGTTCACCCATACTCTTTGTTGATGCCCACCTAGGAAGTCCTTTATCCACATTAACAAATTGCCACAAACCCCCATATTACTTAACATATATAACAGCCGGTTGTTAGGGATGTTGTCAAAAGTTTTGTTGGAGTCAATGCAGGTTACATCTATAGATAACTTTTTGTCTTTAATAGCGCACCAGCTTTCACGAGCCACTTATAAGTTAGCAAAATAGGAATAATCTGTTCTAAAGCCATGCTGCTTTTTAGAAAGAATCCTGTTTTCGTCTAGATCCTTAAACATTTTCTGAATAATCTTTTCTAAAATCTTAACGACCACGCTGGGCCGATAGTCTTCAGGTTTGTTTCGTACCTGTTTTTAAGACAGGACTATGGAGTTCTTCCAGTCTTAAAGATAGATTAAAGAATATTCTTGAGGGATTTGCTACGAAATGTTCTAATTCTTTTAGTAACCTAGGATACACTTCATCGGGTCATATAGATTTGCCTATATCAAGCTCATTTAGCAGACCAGTCATCGAGTTCTCAAACGGTCACAATGCCCAGTGTGTGTAGGGAGGTTTGTATGAACTGAAGGGGAGCATGTCTCTACGGTATATACACTTCTGAAGTAATTTGAGAATACCTGAGCTTTACCATATTTGTCCTCAACCAATGGTGCAGTACTACTGTCTCCCGATATTGCTGAAATATTTCGTCTTATTCCTTTGGTTTATCTACAGGTTTAAGGTATTTGGTAGATTCCTTAACAAGTTTTCCTCCTGAGATAGTAGAGGAGGTTTGTAACTCAGGTGGATGATTTTGATGCAGTTTTGTTCTCTGAAGTTTTCTCTTTTACCTGAAGTTTGTGATGATAATGTTCACAATAACGATTGAAGCTCCACGACCATACTATCCAGCTCAGAGGAAGAAAACTCAGTTTTTCTTCGTACAGCATTCTAGACCTCATTCATATTTCTTTATATCTTTCCTTCTGCCAGTTGATTTTTCTCCTTGTACTGTATCCTTACGCACAATCTTTCGGTGGCCATCTTGTTGTGCTAATGAGGTGTGGCAACTTGGTCCTACGTTGTGGCTGGCTAACTGAATCGGTCAATGAGGATAGTTCGGAGTCTAGATCGTACCTAGTCGCTTCTTTTACATGTTGCATTAGGGCACATGTGATAACCGCATCAACTAGTTTCTATCCGAAAGAATTTTATCACAGTTCCGTTCTCAGATTCTTCCAATCTAACGTAGATACGTTAAAGTCTCCTAAGATTAAACATCAACCACTTTGTGACCATGTATTGAAACCATCTAACAAAACCTCATTTACCTCACAGTTTGGGCTGCGGTATACCAAGCCAATCAGCAGCTTTCTTCAAAGGACAACAAATTAACTCACACGTCCCACTTCCATGGGATCAGTTGTCAATAACGGTAAATGGAATGGTATTTTTAATGAATCCTAATCAATCCTCCTTTACACTTCTTGATTCTTTCGTCTCTTACTAATGTGAAACTTTCAAAATCAAGCTCCGTGCTGCCCATAAACTGGATAACTCAAGTGTTTGTGACTGCGACTACGGGCGGCTTGGTAGGGTCTATCTGTACATCTAGCTCTGATCGCTTATTGAGCAAGCTCTGGGCATTCGTGTAACAGGTTCGAGGACCATTTAAATGGCTTCGTACTTCACCCAAAGTGGCTTTGGCATCATTCCCTGTCGAAGCCTCACAACCCGAAAACTTACAATTTTTAGGTCGTTCTCGCCAGCATTTAACCTTAGTTTTAGTTCTTTTTTTAGCTTCTCGTTTTTTTATACGGTCTGCGAGCGGCAACTCTTTACGGACAAAAAGTCCTGATCCATTTATCGCGTGCTCATTCTGTAGTATTAAGTCTCTTTCATTTAGAGATTTAAATACTACTTTTAACAACCTGGTGTGATTCTGTTTCAAGTCCTTTTGGCTACCCAGTTTGTAATCCTTTAGCAAGGTGACTGCAGGGATATCCTGAGGCATCGACTCAATGTCATGCTCAATACTTCTGAGTTTTTAGCTTTCACTCCTTGACTCTATGAAAGACAACTACTCTGTCACTAAGATCTGTTTTCAATTTTCATGTCCTCAAATGTCCTAGTACGGTCAGGAATGGGGAGACCCAGCCCTCCTTCTTGAAATGCTCTCACACGGCCACGTGCATACAATCACTGCCTGGAAAGTCCTACTCACTGCCTTCTTGCGCCAGCGGTGTTGTTTACGAAATTGAGTAGACGAAAAGCGAATGTCCGGTGCTTTAACCGGGCTGGTGGACACGGAGAGTCCACCTAGGGGATATGGAAAACCCTGGTTTCAAAACAATAGTGCATATGGGCTCCAGCATCTAGAAGGAACAAATGGCATATGAACCAATCGTTGGTCACCAGCTACCATGGGACTGCATCTTCTGACGTTGCTCCACTGCCTTGTCGATCAGACTTCCAGATCGAAGGCTCCGGGTGTGGTTCCCTAAGAGAACTACTTGCCCCGGCTTGGCCACCCGGTTGGTATCCCAGCCCTCACACAAATCGACTAATTTATGTGGCGCCTATCTATATAGTTCCTCCTTGTACCAATGTTTATGTGTTTAAATAAATAAAATCTCAGCTACTTTTTGGGGAACACACTTTTCTTTAGTAACATTTCATCTAGTTCACAAAATTCCAACCAGATATTTGCTCTTTTTATATTATTTAAATAGGCTTATGTATAATTATTAAAGTAAGGTCCGTCTTATCTTACCCAACCTGGCTATAACGTCTACATCCACATTTTAATTTGAATATAGGATTCAATAATTTTGTCTATTATTGTTTTCTAATTCGTTAGGCAAAACGCTTAATAATCGAGTAGAATAGTTGGGTGTAAGACGTTTTTATAGTTCTCAAAGTTTTCTTGTGCTTTCTTTACTGCCTTTGGTTACAAAACCAGTCAAACTTCTTCATTTGGTATCAATATAAGGTTTTCTGTATTGATAATCGTCTGTATAGTTATCTGTAATAATATTGCACTGAGCTGCTGTCCAGGTTTTGTAACAATTACACGACAGGATAGGTTGCATTGCTCTCAGTATAAAGCTCATAGCTGCATTTGGTTTACACCAACTTTATTGCATATGATCGGTTAACATATACATAATGTAAGTATATAATATGTACATGAAACCTCGATTAAAATGTTTACTCTTGATTGACGAACCTCCGGTGTTAGATAATTACAATTAATTATTTAAACCACGTGTATGGAAGACGAGTATTCTTTCCAATAAATTCTTTTCAGACTCCACAGTTATTTCAAATTGATAATCTGAAAGTGGTCAAATTTAAGGCAAGTTTTTCGTGTAAAATTATAGCATGTTAATTTAGGATTGCTTGTAAAATAACAAAAATTTTAGTGTTAGGATGACTAATCTGAAGTATAGACTTGACTTTTCTAGTTTTTTTAGATAGTTTTAGTGTTAGTGACTTATTATGAGACTGTTTTCTTGTAAAAATTTCATTCTTTACGACTCAGAATAATCAAATTCAATGCTCACACACAAAACATTGAGATTATTCCATTGCACTAAGTGTTTCACTCGTCGAAAGAGTGTATATACTACGACACTAAATAATCCGAGATTCCAGTTTACCATACATTCGAAACCCATTGAATCGGTAGCTATTAATGTACGTTGTCTCTTTAAAATGATGTTTCCCCAAGACTAAGTGGAATCAATTTTATAATCATCAACTGAAAAATGCTGCTCAGCATAAATTTATTCTTCACGATGGTCCACCTTATGCCAATGGTGAGTTGCATGCTGGGCATGCACTGAATAAAGTATTAAAAGATGTCCTTCTTCGCCTCAAACTTCTTTCTGGTCACTCGGTTGAGTATATTCCTGGTTGGGATTGTCACGGTTTACCAATCGAACTCAAGGCCGTAGAAAATCTAAACATATCATCTCCAGAGGAAACGCGAATGGTAAGTGTCTCGGTTATTTCTAAAACTTTACTAGTTAGCTTCACTACTAGCCGAGAAGTTTGTTAGAACCCAAAAAAAATCTTTTCAAGATTGGGGTATTATAGGATCATGGACTGGATGCTATTCTACAATGGATAAATGTTTTGAGGCCGCTGAACTTCAAGCATTTTCAGACTTACATTCCAAGGCACTTCATCGTTTGTGCAATTAACGTTTTTTCATAGGGTTTTATTTTTCGAGGGTCCCTACCTGTCTATTGGTCCACATGTACAAGGTCTGCTATAGCTGAATCAGAGCTGGAATATAATCTTGAACATAAAAGTTGCTCCGTTTATCTGAAAGTCATTTTAACGAAATATAACAACCATCTAAGAAAATATGTTAGCAGTAAGTAGATCTTGTTTCTGATAACTTATTTATCGTTAAGAGGATTTTAATCTGTATGCTATAATTTGGACCACCAATCCATGGACTATATTTTCTAACGAAGCTATAGCATATGACTTAAATGCTACGTAAGTTCATAACGTTGGTGTCCTATTTTTGTTGATTTACATGAAATTCATGTACTAAGTTGCAAAACACAGCTCAGCCTGGTACAAATTGGTCTGCCCATGTTGTCATACTACATCACGGCAAAATAAAACTAACAAGACGTATAACAAAGAGCGTCAAAATGATTGTATCAATTATAGTGAAAAAGAAATAATTATTGCAAAGCAATATTTAAGCTCAAAACTTAAGGGACTATAATTAGTGGATGCATATGAACTGTTACCCATCATTTACAACCGCAGACCATGGACTGACTCTGACCAGATATTTAATTGAACATTCATTGGCTTCATGTACTGATAGTATGGTCTTTGTCTGACCACCTAGTCTTCTTAGTCCAAATACATATTTAGAGAAAATTTATGATATTCGAATTTCCAAATGCTAATAGAACAACGTTTAAATATGCTCATCCATTAACAGTACTGACAGTTGATTTTTGTTACAATTTCCCTAGTTACGTCCTTCTACGATGTCAAGCGTCACGGGAGGTCTATTTAGTCAGCAAGAATTTCTCGGATCACTTGATATCTCTCTTACCGGGAGCAGGATTACACAAAGTTGATGAACTAATAGGTAATCAAGCAGTACAACTTAAAATATACTTATATTTTAGGTAATGACCTTCATGGTTGTTTTTATTACCATCCAACCCGTGTTTCCTGTGAAGTGCCGTTTTTGCCTAGCTCTCATGTTTGTGAGTCTGTCGGTACTGGTTTGGTTCATATAGCTCCTTGTCATGGGAAGGAGGACTTCGAATTGGCAAAAAAATATGATTTACCATTGGTATGTTCACTGCCATAAACTTTCCTTTTTTAGTAAAATTTAAAAAGCTGTGCACAATAAGTTTTTACTAATTTATCGGCTTACAAAACTAGATGGGTTACATTATCAGCATTTTTGAATTTTTTACTGAACTTCTATCGATTAAAGGAATTTTTCTATCTAGAACTTGTTTGTCGATGAATCTGGTTGTTTCACTCAGGAAATCGGTTCCGGATTGGCAGGTCTCAGCGTGTTGGATGAAGGAAATGCTTCAGGTATGCTTCTCTCTACATAGTGTTCTTTCATTTACAATTTGGCTTCGTTATCAGGTGGCTAACTTCGGGACCCGGAAACGTCCCTTTTATTCGAGGCGTACCCACTGTATGCGTTCTTAGTCCATTGACTCTTGGAGTGTCTCCTAACCTGTAAACCTAATACCAACCACAAAGTCATCAATTCTACTGTAGAGCCATGAAAGTTATCTCTTTCATTGGTTACTAATAGAATTTTTTATTTACTAATGTGTAATGTGATATTTTTCGTACATCTAAAGTTTTAAAAAATTTACTAATCTTTATTGCAACCCATTTTTACCGAATTCATCGGAGACGGTTTTAGGTAATACATTTTAAGCTGATTGTCAATGTTTTCATTTGTGACCAAGTTGTGCTTTAAAATACCAAGTTTAAACTTAGTCAAGCAACATCATTTGTCGTTCAACATGGTTTACAGATTAGTATAAGTTTCTACACAAATCGACTACATTGCACTAATTTTTTTAAATCGGAATCGTCATATTTTACCACAGCATCTTACAAGTTGCTTTCTACTCCTTTAAGGTTTATTCCATTGTCACACGTTTCATATTGTTTACATTTAGTAATGAAATTACTTGAACCAATCACTATACACAAAGAAGTTATATCTCACAGCTATCCTTACGATTGGCGTACGCAGAAACCTGTTGTTATCCGACTCTCAAATCAGTGGTTTGTTGATACAGAAAAGATATCGCATTTTGCTTTGGTAAGTATAGTCAACGGTTTACTCAAAACAGTTATTCGTCACTATTTTAGCCTGATACTCTGTGATATTACTGGATGATCACTGTTGTAATTGGAAAAATATTTCATTGAAAAAGTATTGGAAGATCGCAAGCTTTTACTAGTGAAGTAATTCGTTTCGAACAATAAATGTAAATATTTTCTAAATGCGGACCACTAAGAAACCAAAACTTCCTCTTCCAACCACCATTCCAGGTTAGTCTGAAGACAGCAGACATTTCTTGAGGATGAAATTTTTTAGATGCACAAGAAAATGAAAGCCCGGCCATTTACCGTTTACCATCAGATTAGGGAATCACAACTGTGATAAGTAAAAAAAATCAATTAAGTTTGGCCATATCTTAGGTGGTGAAAACCAGTGGCACATAATGTAAAGATATTTAGCGAAAGAAAACTTGGTTCGAAATATTTTTAACAAGCTGAAGGGATTCTTGGAGGATTAATTACCCTTAACGTAGAAAGATAAAATGTTTATCGACTACATCTTAGTGTTTATGCGCCCTTGAACTTTTAATATATACATTTTTGAAAAATTACGTTAGGACCATTATACCAGTTGGTTGTTTTATCTTTATTTTGGTTAACATAACTATTCAAAGCTGTCATAACCATCAGACGTACTTAAAAACGTCTGAATGGGTAGGAATACCCATACTCATTGGTGCCTTCAAATACGCTACTAGAAAAGCTCATCCAAATATTTTATTATGAAATGACTATTACTGTTTCCAAACCTTGTTTCAAAACATCTTATTCTATTCTCTTTTAGTGTGGTGCATTCTAGTTCTCAATGATATTTTATGTATTCTTTTTGTATAGGAAGAATATAAAAAAGTTAATGTTATTCCTGCTTCTCATAAGCATTCTATGCTTCCATTCATATCTCGAAGACCAAATTGGTGTATATCACGTCAACGAGCTTGGGGTGTTCCGATTCCCGTACTTTTCAGAAGAAGTGACAATTCCCCAATCGTAGATTAGTATGTACCTATATATATAACATTGATAATTACTGCTAATAATCAATAAATATGCACACAAACGAAAATTCGAATCTATTATTATTGCTTCTATTTTAATATTATCATTACTTTAAAGTAGGAACTGATCAACCAGTCTCTGATATCACTGTTACCTTCACATTTAACTACCTGCTAACTTTGTTACAGCATAATGCATAGTACAGTATAATCACCAGATATCACTTCTTCTTACAGCGAGAATATTATTTCTAAGCTTTGTCTTTAAACATTATCTTTTTGTTCTATATGTGACGATAATGTGTTGTTGTGTATTGTATGAGTCGTTTACATTTTAAACTGTTATGAAATTAGCTAAAAGTATAAAAGAATAATAACATTTAGAGATTTATAGAGAAATGTTAAAAGATAAGACTCGAATGGAACCATGTTATTAATGTCAATGTAAGTCATATCACTTCACATTTTCAATTACCGTATCCCGTTCTCTCAGTTACGCATCTTGAAGACCCAGATTCACGACTGTCATCTTCTAGTAGCTTCATCAATCAGTGCGACATTCAGTTTTGACCTTCTAGTTACGTTCTTCTACATCCATACTTTTATACTAACCAATATTTCACGTTTAGATATTTCTAAATGTCTAGTACGTGTCCCAACTACTTTGTTCAAACTATCCATACAACTTTTTATAGATTCACGAAATCCGATAAGTTGAGAAAGCTGACTAAGTTAAGGTGAACTAAAAGTATTCGCTATTCAATGCCCTTGCTTGTAAATGACCAAAATAACACTGCTTCGTTACCTAGAATATCAGTTGCATGCTCAGAATATTTGTAAGATTACGTTTTCCTTCAGGATTTTCTGTTTTATATTTACTTTGATGAGCTCTTGTTGTAATGCATCCTTTATATTGACTGTATGTTTATCGTTTCAACAATATTTTGACATTTTTCTAATGTCGTCTTAAAATGTTTGCATGATTTTGTCATTTTCAGTGATTTAATTGACCATATTAGTAGCCGTGTGGCCTCCGAAGGTAGTGATTTTTGGTTTACCGAAACATGTGATCGACTTATCCCTGAAATATTTTGGAAAAAGGTTAGAGGTTTCTCTTTTCACTCATATATAATAGTTTTCTGATTTCTGCATATCACTATCGTGTGTAGAGTTCTATCAACAGATCTCATTAAAGTTAGTGTTTTTTCTGTATAGCTAATGCTTTTATGACTAATAGAATTAGGAAATTTGAATAATTTCTTTCCTACTATTAAGTCTGTAACCCAAATAAAATGAGCATGTGTGTAAATTACACTGATTAGGAGGTTATGTAATTAATTGGATGGATAGATTCCCGCTTTTAGGTTTTTGTCTATTCAAAATTGAACGAGAATACTTATGTCGGTCGATCTATTTTTCTGTGAGTATTTTTACTTTAATTTTTTGATTTTATATGCTGAAAATGTTTTGCATTATTAAGAATTCCGATTAGTTATTCATCACGAATAAAGCTGGCTTTAAATGTGTGTAAAGTATTTTATTTAATTATACAACTATTCGTTTATGTATTTCACTTTACCAACATTTGTTTGCTTGTTTTTTTCCTCCCTACTTTTAGTGGTCTCTTGCAAGCCACGACGTATATAAAAGTACAGAAGTATTTGATGTTTGGTTCGATAGTGGTCTTTCATGGTTGTGTGTTATAAATAGTATGTTTCTGTGTTTTAGGAAGTGTATAATAGTCAGTTTAGTAAATTTCTGTAGTAGTTTATAGTTATAAACGCAGCATCAAGTAATAAATTCAATAATTATATTGAACATGATCAACACGTTACTAAACTTTTTCTTATCTCACTGGCATCAGTTGGTACTGTAGTGGACGAAAACTCAAGTACGATAATCACTGCCTATTTTAATATATAATTCACAATGAAATAGTTTTTCCTTTTCGATCTAGACTCACTCAATTCAAAGCTCCAAATGTAGTGGAGGAAAACTCAGGTATGGCAAACCAATATATTGGTTTATACAAAATTAAACGGTGCCTTTGTATAATTTGAAAATCATACATTAAATAAGTCATTTAGATATCTTCCTTCAGTTGTCCTTTACATAGTCCATCATTCTTCCAATTCAACTGTTAATCAAATTGCTCTTTGTTTCCCTTCCTCTTCTCTTTATTTTAATCTTCTGCTGCTAAACATTCCACTTCCTATTCCTGCTACATACTACTTATATCTGTCCACATAAGCAGCTCACAACACATTGTGACCGTTACTGTTCACACAGTTCATTTTGAAATAAAAGTAAAATTATATACTCTCCAATGATTGAGATTTATCTCACAATCTTGTGTACTGGTTAAATTATGAATTTAGTTATTGTAAAATTCTAACACCTTCAGCCTAATTATAACATTTTGAATGTGAATTATTAATTGTCTGTGTTTGAATTAAACATTACTCACGAATGTTTACTGAAATTAAACATTTTAAACAAAGCAAGTTTTTTTGTTAACTGCTTGTTTTTCATTGTATTGTTGAAATGTGCTTAGTAAGTATTTTGTTTTCTTTCTTTTATCACTTCATTGTAGGCAGTAATTATTCACGCTTACCTTGCTCAAATCTTGTTGCAGATACGTATTTGGAAGGTCATGATCAATTTCGTGGTTGGTTTTCAGCTTCACTTTTACTTAGCATTGCACTTACTGGACGTGCACCTTTTAAGTAATTATATAATCAAATGTTTAAATTCTTATTTGTATGTTTAGATTTGTCTTTCATTTATCTATACTTCGAACTTCAGTTCACTAGATTAGACTAGCATAATTCTAATTTGTTTTTTGGAATGGATAATGTAAAAGGATTACAGGCTTTACATCAATTATCGCCTCCGAGTTGTTGCTTGTGGTCTATTGACTACCTAACAACAGTTTCCAAGTTTTGCTTTCGACTTTAAATGGAACTATGTTGGTTGGTAAGCTACGAAGATAATTATTTAGCACATATATAATTACTGCCTTCACCGACCATGTTCTGGCTGAAACATTTTAAACCAATAAAATACCAAACTTATCAGACCGAGATTGCACTTCAAATTATTAACTGTTTCATCTTAATTGTATGAGGAAGTGACTTTCAGAATACTGAAATTTGTATTCTGGATTTATTATTTATTTTAACACATAGATATTGGTACAAGGAGGCACCAAATACATATGCGCCACACAAATCTCATTCTATATGTGTGAGGGCTGTGATACTGCCCGGGTGCCCAAACCGAAGCAGGTGGTTTCCTTAGGGGGCCACTCCCCGAACCTTCGACCTGAAAGTCTGATCCACAAGGCAGTAGAGCATCGTAAGGAGATGCAGTCCCATGGAAGCCGGTGACCAACAATTGGTTCATACGCCATTTGTTCCCGCAGGATACTGGAGACCATGTGCACCATTGGTTTGGAATCCGGTTAAAGCGCCGGACATTCGCTTTTCGTCCTCCCATTTTCGTAAACAACACCCGTGGTACGAGAAGGCAGTGAGTAGGACTTCCCTGGCAGAGGCTATATACGCGTTGCCGTGTGAGAGCATTTCGAGAGGGAGAGCGGACTCTCCCCACTCTTGGCCGTATCAGGGCATTTGGGGGCTGTATTCCGGATGTGTAGTCATATATCCTACCAAGGACTTGGGGTTGACTTTTAAAATCCGTGTAAGTCATGAACACAGCATATTTGCATTCTTTAGAAATATTATACGTACTGAAATTTGAATTCATGTAAATTAAAATCATTTGCAAGTTATTGGAATTCCCAGTACGTTTTAGCTTCCATCGAATAATGTAACCAAGTACTTAGATTTGGTTAGTTTACTATTTATAAAAAATCACTTTGAAATCTTGACTAAGTTTCACTGATGACGGTAACTGAATTGAGATGCTTATCAATAAAAGTAAATAAAACATTCGAACTGGAATGTATGCATTATCACAAATACCAATATTAATGTGTTAGTCGTTTAAAAGTTTTATAGAAACTAATTACTTTGTAGTTAAAATCACATATTGCTTTTCTCCGTATTCTTATGTGATTTTCTAACTCTCAGATTTGACTTGATTTGATTTTAGAAATCTTGTAATACATGGTTTTGCTGCAGATTCGTGTGGTCGTAAAATGTCGAAATCTTTAGGAAATGGTATTACTCCAAAAGAAATAATTTCTAGTCAAAATGGATGTGTTGATATAATGCGTCGATGGGCATGTTTTTCTGGTTTAGATCCTATATGTCATTTAGGTTCTAAGGAAATCAATCAAAATGCTGCTAGTTATAAATCTGTGAGCAAAAGAACAATTTTTTTTTATTGTTCATGACTTTCATAAAATGAAAATTTTGTGTAATACACGTCTAAATTATTTTTTGTTGGTTGTGTTGCACTTCGCTTGGTCCTTTTTTTAGTGTCTGACCATAAAATTACCCATTGAGCAAATCTTGACATGTAATATCATTTATATGCTGATTAACTTTGTTGAAGTTTATTCTAGGTGTAAAACAATTAATGGAACTTTATTTAGATTAATAGTTCATAAATGTATAAGGTTTTGAGTTTGAATTCCACCCTCATCGTATGATAATATGAAATATACTTTTAATTGACTTGTTTTTAATCGAAAAAAGTATTTCTCAATAAAATTTCTAATTTACCAATATCTTAGTTGCATGATGGAGCAGTAGCTTAGCTTTCGACTTCCAAACACATCGTCTCCGACTCGAGTCTTGTTCTGCCTACTTCAATCTAAGCATTCAAGTAGTGTTTACTAGTCCTCATACATAGGATTTACTCAAACCGAAGTTCAGGAATCTACGCTTGACAAATGGGTTACGTCATAATAATTGCGTAAACGATACGTTTATCAGAACACATCTGGTAGAATGTGCTTTTGATAACCACTTCGATAATCTGTTTTCATTTTTTTCCCTCTAACATTGGGTACCTTAGCTATTCATGTTTAATGTTAAACTTTTTACATATATAAATCTTATCGGTAGGTGTTTACTGAAAATAATCTACATGATATAATTCCAATTTCATTTCTTGGCACATTTTTTACCATCATTTTCAAATTATATTCTTACTGCATAACGTTCTCACTGACTATCTTGGTTTGTAATGCTATTCACGTCCTAATAACATCATAACTGTAATCTGATTACATTATTTTATCTATTTCCTAATGGGTGAATTACTTTTTGCACTTTAATTCCAATACACGATCTATAAGGATAGCCATTACTTAGAGCTAAAGTTACTTTAGCGGTTCAGTTAAATGGGGAATTTTTTATACTCTTTATTCTTTCAAATTATGACAACAATATGCATAAAATGGCCACTATATCTTACAGTTGTATTCACTCCCCATATCTTAAAACGTTTATTTCATCCTCTTTATAGTATGGATGAGATGATTTTCGCGTTCTGTATCATTTTCCAGTGGACCACCTTTATCTTGATGTTTGACTTGTATTTTCCCTTACTTTTGTACTATATGGAAATCATCAAACTCCTTCGAGAAAACATGATTCCCCTAATTCTATTTTAAAAAATTCTCAGAAAAGGGTTATCATTACTCCTAATTATCGTTCTGACATTTACACCTTGTAATGCTATCTTTGAGTGGAGCCTTGTTTAATAAATAAGGCGTATGACTGAACTAGTGGGCTGGGGGGGCTGTGTCCCGTACTACTCATTTAGGTTTGGGCACCATGTTAATATCACTAGCCCTAACATATAAAGTGTCGTAGAGCCAGGTACACGGATCTGTATTCTAAAAATCGGTCGCGTCATATATCAACACTACCCAACTTGCTCACATTATCGAAAGAATGCGTCAATGTTTTTTTTCAGTCGATTCAATATGTTATAGCCTTTGTTCAATTGACATTTCCACCTTATAGCTACGCAACAGTCTACGCTTTATGACTGGAAATTTATACGACTTTTGTCCAGTTACCCAGCTAAATTATAATGAAAAATCAAATTATTCACTGTCTAAATTAACTTTGGACATGGCAAACAATGTTAGTGAAAATAATTGCAATTCTTTTTGTCTTACTGCATTGGATAAAGCTGTTCTCTATTCTCTTTCAACTACTATTTCAAATTCATTGAATACCTACTATCCACAATTTCGATATAATACAATTCTAGCTGAAATTGATCAATTTTTATCGTATTTATCATCTGTATATATAACTTCAGTTAAAGACAGGTAACTGCATTTCTATTTTTTTGTTTTGTATTCTATCTTGATTTCTGTGTTCCATTTATCTTCGGTTTCTAATAATAGCCAATATAAATCGGCAGCTCGTGTGTGCTTTTTTTAATATAAAATTAATGTACATTACTTAGTATTGCGTAACTTTCAAAGAAATAGTCGATTTTCATCTCTCAGACAGCGTCAGATGTTTTAAATGTACATAAAATTGAGTAGTGATTTCTACTCAATGTTAATGCGCATTTTAACCATCTCATCGTAAGACGATGAACGTTTTTGAACAATCACAGCATTTATTTAACGTCATAAGTGTTTACTTCCCTAATTTACTCACTAAATTGTGCATAGTAGACACTTTATGATGGGTAGCCAAACCAATTTTCTTTCACTGGTATTGTGTTTCGTGTGTACGGATGATATAATATGAGGGAACATTATCATTAATAAAAAGTGTTAAATCGTTAATCCGTGAGATTCATATTTTTACTTTGAATTCTAATTCTTATTACTGCTTGATCTAAATATTCCTAAAGGATATCAGACTAACAGACGAGTCAACCATTTTTTTACTGTACTTTAGTGTTTAAAACGGTATATTGTCAGTAGTATTTTTGTTTGATAATATACGCAGTTTTAAAGTAGTTTCTGTCTTGTGATATTGTGGTGTGTGCTATTGATGTCGACAGATATCAGTGGTGTGTATCATCAGTCGAAAGTGAGATGCCTGGCGGCAGGTGGTTGAGAAGTTTGAAGAGAAATGAACGAGAACAGAGAGTGATTGGTATGGAAATGAAAGAACAATAAAGCCTAAGACAATTAATCATAAATACTTGTTCATCGGTTGTAATGTGTATGTATTATATCATTTCGAGCACGTTCGTTGCAATTAATCGTGATATTCTGTAAAGATTATGAATCACTTACCAGCTGCAGAACTAAAGAATGGGTTTTCTGAAGACGGGCTTGGTATGCTCAAAAACTTTTCTTAGGACGTTGACGTATTCATATTTTAGTTTTATTGAACTAATCTGCTTAGCAGTTCGATCCGTTCAGCATTATGAGTGTGGAACGTAGCTATTGAGGGAAGGATATATCCGTACTTGCTTACACCTGTTACCCCTCGTGAAGGAGCAAAGGCCGCCACCAACATTCTCCATCGAACTCTCTCCCGCGCTGTTAGCGGGACATAGACTGGATTAAAGCATGCTCAATGCACTATTGCTTTGGTGCACGCTGATTGGCTAATTCTTGCCCAATTAGCGTTAGCCAATACTTAGTGAACACTAGAAATCTTCTCATGTGAAAAACTATAAATATCCTAACGTTTTATCTATTGTGCTACATACTTGCTTCTTACTTGCATCTAACCTTGTTATTTGGAATATAATCTATTTCCTGTTCAACCGTATTCTGATTTGGGGACTGGTCGGGTGATTTGGTGTCCGAGAATACTAAGCAATAGGAATAGTTGGGTCATACCGTAACAAAGAGATTATAACACGCGCAAAGCTCTCCAGTTGCTACTCATCCTTTGGATGTTTGCTTCCATATCCCGACGTAGTGTGTTCTTCAGCCTTCCTCTTTTTCGCTTCCCTTAAGGATTCCAGGTTAGCTCTTGCTTCGTGATGCAGTTTGATTATCTCCTTAACGTATGTCCGACCCACCTCCAAAGTCTTGAACATTGTTTTGTCTTCCATGTGTTCTTCGATTGTAGGAATGTTGCCCTTCTTTGCCAATCCATAAATTTATATCAGCATCTGATCCTCCTTGTTCATCGATGCTGCTGCTCAGATACGCGGAAGATTCCACCTCTTCCAGAGCTTCTACATCAAATGTGATTAGATTGATGTTCTTTGTGTTAAATTTGAGGATCTTGCTTTTACCCTTGTGTATGTTGAGGCCTAGTGATGCAGAGGCTGCTGCTACACTGACTGTGATTTGTTGTTGTGTATGGGATAGAAGGGCCAGATGATCTGTGAAGTCCGAATCTTCTAGTGGATTCCGAGCTGTCTATTGTATTCTGTGCTTCCCTGAGATGTCGAGGCCTTCATAATCCAGTCAACCACCAGGAGAAAGGGAAAGAGGGGAGAGTTGGGAGTGTTGTCTGACTCCGGTCCTTATTTGGAATGCATCTGTCCTCGATGCACGACTTCTCAGTGTAGTCCGTCGTATGAATCCCGCATGATGATGCAGTTCGTTCAGTTGTCCATTGCTTATTTAGCTTTAGCTTTATCTTGGCAACCATCAGGTGGTGATCTGAAGCTATTTCAGCTCCTCTCCTGGTTCTCACATCTTCCATTAACCTTCTGAATTTTTTGGTGACGCAAATATGATCGATGTGATCCTGTGTGGTGTGATCCGGTGAGACCCGTGTAGCTTTGTGTATTCGTTTGTGTTGAAATATTGTTCTGCCTATAACCAATTTGTTGAATGCACATAGATTTGCAAATCTCTCACCATTCTCGTTCGTTTTACCCAGTTGGTCCATGTCGTCACATGATATCTTAATAACCGCTATTGTTCATTCCGACTTTGGCGTTTGGATCTTCCATCATTATGGTCAGGTCCTTGCCTGAGCACTTCACTATGATCGATTGTTGGTTGTATAACATTGGATAACACTCATTGTAATTCCCTCGTTCTTTGTTTCGAATGATACTTTGATGATCCTGGGTCCATGAGATTCCCATTCTATAAGCGCTTTGCGTGCTTGTTTGGACGGCATCAGATCAACTCCTTGTGTGTGTGGGGGGGGGCATTTACTTGTTTGTGACCAGAATACAATAGCATCTCTCCCGAATTTACTCTTTTCTGTTCAATTTGGATCCAATAGTTTCTACATATTGGGAGAATCGCCAAGTTGTATCTCCTCATTTCGGTTGCCGTTTGACTGGTGCTCCCGATCTCTCAAATTGTTCGAACATTCCGTGCACCTATAATAATGGTTGCTGTGGTTGTTAGAAGTATCGATCTCGTGACTTCCTTAGGATCTCGGCTTTCATCGTGAAGCGTCATAATTCTTCCTTGTACTCGGAGGGCACAGTGTAAATTGTTTGATTTGTTTATTCTGGTTAATGTTTCTTTAGCGATGTATTTGCCGACCACATTTCCAACCCTCCTCGTTTACCCGTGCTTGAGACTGACAGTCACTCTAGGAGAGTCACAGGTGGAATTCATTTGGTGAGATTTAAGCTTATAATAAATGGAATATACAATAAGAATATATATTATTATAATCCATAAATAAATCCTAGCGGTTACTATTCACTTATTGTTCTTCTGTATATAATATTCTAGACCCACTGGGTTTATTATCGTTGTTTTGCTGTTCCTATTGTGCATGTAAATATAGAGAGAGATTGGTAGTGAATGTTATATTGGTAGCCAAATTATCTACAATAGAAGGAATAACTTATTTATTTACTCATTGCTTCACGCTACATAACAATGACTGTTAGTTCTCGACGAGACTGATCTTCAGTTTTTCCCCACTTCATCACCTTTTGTTTATTTCGTTATACTACTTATTATTATTCAGTAGCTGGCGCGTTTTAAATCATTATGAGGTAATAGCTCATAACTTTTCTTCCTTGGTGCATCTTGTTAAAATTCTAACTTTGATTATTGTAATGCAACTTCTTAGAATTTAAAGCAGCTAGTCCTTTTTATGGATTTCGATCGAATGATGAGATGACGTGCAAATACCAAGCTTCTGAGTTCCTCGTAATTACTTTACTCCACTTTTTTATGTTTCCTTGAATTTATCTTGTGTGCCTAATCACTTTTATTACCACTGATACGTTTGCCACCTCTACTATTCTTGAATTTGGCGTTCCATTTTTTGTCTTTGTGTTTTTAGGGTATGGTAACTTGAACCGATTTACATACATACCATTAATACTAAAAATAGTCAATTATCTTTTCCTTTATTTCTAGTTTAGTGATTATTTCTTTGTTTTATAGATTATTATCATTTCTCTTGTTATTTGTATGTTGTAGATTATACTTCAATAGTCCAGATGATCCATCGCGACGGAATACACAGACGGTGTTTTGGTTAACTGTTGAATGTCTAAAAGCTCTTTTAGCACCAATTTTACCTTATTTAATGGAAGAAGTGGAGTCGGTAACTTGGAATCTTTTGTCATCTCAATTAAATGACTTTAATCAGTCCACAACTCTTCTGGAACGTTATTCATCTTTATCCTTGCATAATTATTGTTCTGTAGACAAGTCTAGACCGTGTTCAGATTGGACGTTATGCTTATCGGCTATGAACCGGTGGGATAAGTTTAAAAATTATTCAAATTACGTAAATACTGCTTCTTCATTGTTTCATTCTTTAACCAATTCACTGCCAAAAGGTGATGAACATGTACCTTCTACTAGTCCCTTGTCAAGTGCTAATGTACATATCACTATACCAACAAAAAGTCAAGAAGTATATCACATGTTAAAAGTATGTATTTTTGTCAATGAATTTACCTATATATGTCCTTTCCAATAAATTATTAAATACTTGTTAATCAGGCTTGATTGTTTTTGAGGCTAAATAACCTTCAGATGTTAGATCAAATGCTTCACCAGTGTCTTAATTAGTCGGGTCCAATGATCAATAAACTATTGGATAGATATTGGTTTTCTAAACCAATATCTAAGTAACTTCTCATTATTCCCTACTTCTAGAGAAGCAGGGACCCAGCGGCTATAGGGTTCAAAACCTTATCCACTTACGCTTAAAGAGTAGCTTGTACTGAAGTACGTTGTGCTTCAGTTAGTTGTGATTATGCTTTCACTAAAATGTTTTTCCTGGTGAACCGATTTTTAATAGTTCTTATAATCGCTTTCTATTTTTCAGGCTCTTCATCCGTTGGAATCATGTGTTTCTGTATCATCAGATTTGTGCTATATACTTCGGGCATCTTCAATTTCGTGGTCATGTGGTTCATACGAAGATAAAGTTACTGACACAGTAGGATATTATAATTTCAATTTAAACGATATGCAAGTGTCAGTAACATTTCCTTTGGGAAATCAGACAGTCAAATGTCAGCGTTGTAATAGGCACACGAATAACAATTTTAAAGATAACTTATGTCCCCGTTGTATACAGGTATTAGATGGTTCTTCATTTGCAAACCATTAGTCAAATCCTTGTAAATTACTTGTTTTTCTAGTTGTATTACAAAAATAAGATAAATAGTCTTGCTTATTTTGTTTCATTTGAAATATCTTGTTTTCTATTTAAAACTCAGACTGATTGATACGTTGGCTAGTTTATCATTTAAATGTAAATACTTCGTTGTTCATAGTTGAATATTTAAATTCATTAGAATATGTGACATTTCGAATCCCAGTTTATCAACCTAGATTTAGCTAACTGAAATTGTAAGCAGTTTGTAGTCTTAATATTTAAACAATCTCATTCGTTTAAATGTTTTCATCCTTTTTTTTGACTATACACTTACAAGATTTTTTCAACGCCTTTGTGATAAACTGTTGAGTGTATAATATTATACGTCAGTGGATATTATGAATAGCATTGTTTGTCATAATTTCAATTGACAATAGTTTCACCCGGGAATAACTCAAATTATTTTTCAACCTGTTTGTCAGTTAATTTAATTAGCGTATATATTTCCAACAAAACACACTATTTATTCACTGGCAGAGAAAAATAAAAAAGTGAATTCGATAATTGACTAAAAAGCATGCATATCCACAAGAATAAACCTCTTATTATTAAGTGTTATATCTGATGATAGTACCAGCGAAAAACTGTGGTTGGCATTTTTATTTACAAAAGATATCTCAGTAACACTTCTTTCTTCCACATGAATATCTTTAGGATATCAGTCTATAGGTTAGAAAAGCGTTCGATCTCCAACAAAATGAGCTCGGTCGATGATAGAGCTATGAGGGTGAATGTCACTTCCCTGTTTCTCACACCATGGAAGGATATTTCTTCAGGAAGGTAAAAAAGAAGTTAAATTAGTGGTCTTAGCGACCTGGGAGCGTGAATAAATAGTCCAAGCAACAATTATTTGAGGTCGGTCGCTCACGGCTTTTTTATGGGAAGTTTTTGATGTGTTAGCTCCACACTTCAAAAGACCTTTCGCCTGGAGACGGAAATCCGTAGGATAAGGTGAAGTGTCACATTTTTAAGGTCGACCTTTTCTAACCGCTTTCTTCCGTTGTGAGAAAACAGCATCTCCGCATGTGCTCGTTGTTTGAGAGGAACACCTTACTGTTGTCACAGCCTTCTGCAGTCAGTAGTACGACTTCCTTGTCTGGTCTTGAGGTCGACTATACGTAAAATATATTTTTTACAGTTTAACCGGAAGCTATTTTTGTGATATAGACGATATAACTCGGCGAGAAATAACGCTTTCGTGGAATGAAGAAAAAGTATAAGATAATTTTGGAACTCGGGATCTAAAGGATGATGAGTGAGTGCAGCTGCACTATTACGAACGACTTTGAGGCATGTCTCCTATCGTCTCCAACCATTAGTTACGATAATCATGTGAACCGCAAGCAAATATTTTGAATATATCAACATAGCTTAGTGCAACTGATTCTGTTTCTTTATTTGGGTACTTTTAACTTTCATACAACTTACTCTTACACCATCTGTCATTGCACATCGAGGTAGGCAGAGGTTAGACATACGTAACATACATTCCAGTCGCTTTATTCGATGGAAACTCACTGTATCACCACTCGATTTCCCATGCCTATCTGGTTCCCTGTGGCTAACCTCAGCACAGGGCACTCAGTGGTCTCAACATGCACAAGCAATGCTTTGAGTGCATTTGTGGTTGAATACTAGGGACTTAAGAATATCGATGTAGAGAAGGACATCCTGAACATAAATTGTTGGTCAAGGCGATAGGATTACTGCATTATGTCAAGGTCTTCACCAAATAGAACCATATCATCGTCATATTCTAAGTCAACAAGTGAATCTCCCTGTAGAATATAAATCCTTGATGCTGTAGTCACTGATTATACAAATTGGCAAAAAGGTGTGTCGGTTCAAGTTACCATCAAGTTGAATAGGCCGTACTTAAGCAATTATACTTAATTGAGAATTCAGACGTTGTGTACAGAATGAGTTAGCAGATTTCATTGTATTGAAAAAAACATTAAACAATCATCTAAAACTAATTTAAGACCATATTCTTTATCTCCAGAGTACAGTTGTACTGTTAAATATGATGATTATTTCAAAAATAGGGTTCTCATGAAGCAAGTAATATCAATTGTTGTAACTAATTTATTTTAATTTATTTGTTATATTTTACTTATGTGAGATTATTTCTATGACGTTTTTATTATAAATATTTCAATTCTATGTAGTTGAGGTTATCCAACAGACAAAATTAAAATATATTTATTAATAGGAGGAAATCTTGTGTAAATGACGTAGTAAAGTGAGAATAACTAAATTATATTTCCATATGTTTATCTAATTAAATGTATGTATGTCTTTTCTAAAGCGGTTGGTTATTGGATAATGCTAGATAGAAACTAAATGATTGAGGCAAGCGGTCAAACAGTATTAATCTCCGAAATTAAGGTCATTGTGTCAAATCGGAAGAAGAATATGATAATGACATTTACGAACAGTTAATTTGAATGTCAAAATGTCAACTTCAATGCAAATGTTTAATGAATAAAAGCCATAAAAATGTTATTTTACTCATAAGTTTGGATAGTTCTTACATTTTTTACACTTGGTGAACGAAAACAAACAACCTTGATGAAATTTAGTAGAGAAATCAATGCCGCAGTTGGTTAGCTGCACTCAGTTCTTCAAATAAACGATTTTTAAACATTTATTGAGCACTTCTTATTGCACTATGAGTTTACCTAGTTCTTTTCTTTATGCGATCAACTGACTTTGTGCATTCTATCTAACGGTAGCTTTCAAATATTGCCCTTAACGTCAGATGTCATCAAAAATGATTTGATTACTTAATATTGCACAGCTACGTAGCAATGTGCCATAATCTGTCCCAAAATACTGTCAAAATTTATGTAATTGGATAAGTATAGGATTTCATAGTTTAAATCACAAACTGATCTTAGATCAGCATTAAAAACCTCGAAGCACCGGACGACCGTTTGATCCCAGTATGGAACGTCTCGCTAGTGCACATTCACGATCCTACATCCGGAAATCGAACCTAAGACCCTTTATTTCGCGAGCATGCGCATAACATCGACGTTATGTTCTTATAGGTTGTTAATTACCACTCGATACGATCGCCAATTAGAACACCGATTTACTGACCAAACCAATGACACATAAACCAGTACCAGTAGTTCAGAGTGAACTCTGATTTCTTCTTGATCCACCAAGATAGTAGCTTCTCGTCTAACCCAGCCGGTTCAGTCCAGAACACCGATATTAGCCTCCGCTGTATGAATCATGTATTTGAGATATACTGGGTTTGTATACAAATAAACCAGACCAACATCATATCGTAAAATAGAAGATAACAATTATGCAAGATCAGGCCGGAAAGTGGCTGTGATTGTGAGATACTGTTACCAATAGATTGAGAATAACCTAAGAATGGTGAATCGTATAATAGTATTCACTTAGTTGAATAACATCCGCTATCCCTCGTGAAGGAGCAAAGGCCTCCCACCAACATTATTCATCGAGCTCCCGCGCAAACCTCTCCAGTTGCTACTCATCCTTTGGATGTTTGCTTCCATATCCCGACGTAGTGTGTTCTTCAGCCTTCCTCTTTTTCGCTTCCCTTAAGGATTCCAGGTTAGCTCTTGCTTCGTGATGCAGTTTGATTATCTCCTTAACGTATGTCCGACCCACCTCCAAAGTCTTGAACATTGTTTTGTCTTCCATGTGTTCTTCGATTGTAGGAATGTTGCCCTTCTTTGCCAATCCATAAATTTATATCAGCATCTGATCCTCCTTGTTCATCGATGCTGCTGCTCAGATACGCGGAAGATTCCACCTCTTCCAGAGCTTCTACATCAAATGTGATTAGATTGATGTTCTTTGTGTTAAATTTGAGGATCTTGCTTTTACCCTTGTGTATGTTGAGGCCTAGTGATGCAGAGGCTGCTGCTACACTGACTGTGATATGTTGTTGTGTATGGGATAGAAGGGCCAGATGATCTGTGAAGTCCGAATCTTCTAGTGGATTCCGAGCTGTCTATTGTATTCTGTGCTTCCCTGAGATGTCGAGGCCTTCATAATCCAGTCAACCACCAGGAGAAAGGGAAAGAGGGGAGAGTTGGGAGTGTTGTCTGACTCCGGTCCTTATTTGGAATGCATCTGTCCTCGATGCACGACTTCTCAGTGTAGTCCGTCGTATGAATCCCGCATGATGATGCAGTTCGTTCAGTTGTCCATTGCTTATTTAGCTTTAGCTTTATCTTGGCAACCATCAGGTGGTGATCTGAAGCTATTTCAGCTCCTCTCCTGGTTCTCACATCTTCCATTAACCTTCTGAATTTTTTGGTGACGCAAATATGATCGATGTGATCCTGTGTGGTGTGATCCGGTGAGACCCGTGTAGCTTTGTGTATTCGTTTGTGTTGAAATATTGTTCTGCCTATAACCAATTTGTTGAATGCACATAGATTTGCAAATCTCTCACCATTCTCGTTCGTTTTACCCAGTTGGTCCATGTCGTCACATGATATCTTAATAACCGCTATTGTTCATTCCGACTTTGGCGTTTGGATCTTCCATCATTATGGTCAGGTCCTTGCCTGAGCACTTCACTATGATCGATTGTTGGTTGTATAACATTGGATAACACTCATTGTAATTCCCTCGTTCTTTGTTTCGAATGATACTTTGATGATCCTGGGTCCATGAGATTCCCATTCTATAAGCGCTTTGCGTGCTTGTTTGGACGGCATCAGATCAACTCCTTGTGTGTGTGGGGGGGGGCATTTACTTGTTTGTGACCAGAATACAATAGCATCTCTCCCGAATTTACTCTTTTCTGTTCAATTTGGATCCAATAGTTTCTACATATTGGGAGAATCGCCAAGTTGTATCTCCTCATTTCGGTTGCCGTTTGACTGGTGCTCCCGATCTCTCAAATTGTTCGAACATTCCGTGCACCTATAATAATGGTTGCTGTGGTTGTTAGAAGTATCGATCTCGTGACTTCCTTAGGATCTCGGCTTTCATCGTGAAGCGTCATAATTCTTCCTTGTACTCGGAGGGCACAGTGTAAATTGTTTGATTTGTTTATTCTGGTTAATGTTTCTTTAGCGATGTATTTGCCGACCACATTTCCAACCCTCCTCGTTTACCCGTGCTTGAGACTGACAGTCACTCTAGGAGAGTCACAGGTGGAATTCATTTGGTGAGATTTAAGCTTATAATAAATGGAATATACAATAAGAATATATATTATTATAATCCATAAATAAATCCTAGCGGTTACTATTCACTTATTGTTCTTCTGTATATAATATTCTAGACCCACTGGGTTTATTATCGTTGTTTTGCTGTTCCTATTGTGCATGTAAATATAGAGAGAGATTGGTAGTGAATGTTATATTGGTAGCCAAATTATCTACAATAGAAGGAATAACTTATTTATTTACTCATTGCTTCACGCTACATAACAATGACTGTTAGTTCTCGACGAGACTGATCTTCAGTTTTTCCCCACTTCATCACCTTTTGTTTATTTCGTTATACTACTTATTATTATTCAGTAGCTGGCGCGTTTTAAATCATTATGAGGTAATAGCTCATAACTTTTCTTCCTTGGTGCATCTTGTTAAAATTCTAACTTTGATTATTGTAATGCAACTTCTTAGAATTTAAAGCAGCTAGTCCTTTTTATGGATTTTGATCGAATAATGAGATGACATACAAACTTTTGAAATGGAAAACTATTTTCATCCTTCACAAAACATTCAATTGAAACGGGGTATAGTATTAACATTGAGACCGATTGGTTACTGTGAATTTCAAACTTTTATTTATGCATATAAAAATAAGTTTTCATAATCTTGAATTTCATTTAGGAAACTTTATTGGAGTTTGTGATCTTGTATATTGCGAAAATTTCCTATCCTTGCCTACATTATATCGATGTTTTTCTCTTCTTTATTTATGAGTATCAATTTATATGAATTTGGAATTTTATTTAATTGATCTGTATTAATTTACATATAGAATGCTTTGATTAGATTGTTTCGAGATGTGTATCCCAAATTCATTACATTTTTTCAGATCAACTGCGTGTTTTGTTTTGAACACTTTCAATTTCTGTGCATTCACTGAGCTTTCTTTTGATTTTAACACTTTCTATCTTTCTTATTCGGAGTCCTGTTCTTTCTATTTTGTTCGCTGTTTTTGGTTTTAGACACAACTACTAGCTGTTGACTACTTTATAACAACCATTTCAAAAAGTGTTTGTCTATAGACTGTATAAAAGTAGAAATCATCTCATACAATTATGTTTGTAAGTATTCTTCAAATATTTTCTTAATAATAGTTGTGTGTTTAAGGCAACTCCCTCTTTCTGACCACAAAACATTTACAAGCAACTCGGAACTGGTGATATTATAGACAAGTATGGTGTTGTACGCCAAAAACATACCCAGATGGATCATTATGTAAGCAACACCCTACTAGATAAAATGTCAGCCTAAATAGTTTAAGGAATTAGTTAAACTTTTATTTATATTATTCATTAAATAAATGGAAATATCAAGTTATTTCAATAAAGAAAAATGAAACTAATTCAGAAAGTTTGTCTGTATAAATCTCTTTTAGGAATTTTCCCCAACCAAAAATATTATGAATTTAAGTAGGCCAGACTCTCATTTGCAATTTCATGACCCATGTACTTAGATTTTGGCTACATACAAATGAGTGGTGTTTTGAAAGAACTATATTTTATGCAGAGGGGTTAAACGAACTCACTTTGAGAGAGATTTTTTATAAGATCCTCACTCAGACTCTGTAAATGATGTACTTTGTGTAAACTTGAAATTGGAAGTGAGGAGATCGCATTTCTTTTGTTACGACATATTACTTACTAAATTGTTTGAGTTATTTTAAATCATTACCATTGAGTGTGAAATGTCAGTCATGGCCTGCCAGATTATTTAGAAATATGTATAACAGCAACCTCAAGTGAAATGGTTTAAAATATTTTAGGGCCACATGGCACTTTACAATAATTTCTTAGAAAGTGGAATTTAAAATCAAACTTAGTCTGATGTTCGAAGAAGCTAGAGGGATTTCACCTGTCATTTCTTGACGTACGACACTTAAACGTCCTCCCCAGACTCTACTTAATAATAAAGTCACCAAATTTCATCGCATAACATTGATCTAAATTTTTGAAGAGTTATAATTATAGTTTAAATTCCCGACTTCTCTAGTTATTATTGACAATAATCAAACTGGTCATAATCTTCAGACGGAACCAATAAACATTCAAGCTGAAAACAGTACAGGTTAACATTTTAAGCTTATAACATTAACAGAATTCTTTCCGCCTGTGAGATAAAATATGTTTCACAGTCTGATAAATTTTGCCCACAAGATGTTCAATCGCTCTTTATGTGTTAAGTTTCATTTAATGACAAACGTTCTTGTATACGAACACTGTCTTTTTTTAAATGGTACTGTAATGTGTGATATATATATTTCTTACGTTTCTATATGTAACATTGTTGAATAAGACTATTTGTAGGAAAGATACAAAAACAAACTGTATCTGGTCTTGTTTACCGAATGGCGAGATAAAGGACATACGACTTTCTGTTAGTTAAATAAAATCATATTCTCCTTGTAGATTCCCCACATGTTCATTTAACATACCATCCAACTTATCAACTGTTTTTTTAATTCAATACTTTGCTTGGTACAAATAATACATTCCCAAGACCTACACGGTATTGAAATGGGAATGCTAGAACCATAAGGCAGGCACATTAAAAACTACTCCATCAGACTTCTTTATTAAATTGGGAATTAATCTGCAAGTGTGTTAACAGTGGAGATGATTGAGTGCTTATCTACTCCGTAGAAAGTATGCTATCTCTGAGTCCTTTTCTACTTATTCACTTAAGCCTGATATCCGAACTCCATGTATCTTTTAGTCCCCTCTTAATTTTATTATTTCATATTTCAAGCTAGACCTTGACTTTAGATGCATTTTATTGGCTCACGTAAAAGTTATTCTATCCACCTTCAGCATTTTTTCCTAATTTCTTCCTCAATCGATAATTAGTTTTTACTCTAACGGATTAGATTATTCCCAATGTTGTCTGGTCAGTGGATCTGGAGTGTCTTGAGTAAATAACCGTTCATAAATACTTTTACCTTTTAGATGATAGTTGTGGTCACATAGTTTCGGCATCAGTATTGTAAATTCTGACCTTGGCCTTGAGTGGTAGTTCTTTTTGTAATTAGAAATAGTCAGTAGTTAACACACGATTGCCTTTGTAACAAAGTGCACATTAAATTTATATTGACTATCCTAACACTATAACGCCAAACAATTATAAAAACCCTGTAAAAATTTTAATTCTTAACGTCTTATACATTCCAAACAACTTATATTTTATTGGTTACCGATTCACTTCTTACTAATGTAGCATTAGGTCAATACGTGAAATTAATTAAACTTATCAGCTTGTATGTAGCTGAAGAGATAGCAACAAAGCACAACAAATTTATTATATTCTACGAGTATTATCATTGTTACTTAGTTCAAATTCATGAAAGAAACCGGTTGTATGAAAATTAATAAGAACCATGTAAATTATAAAACTTAGTGTTTATTGTCATTAAAATAAATCAATAAAAAAAGTTGTTGAATAAAGATATGCGATAATAATAATAATCGTAATAATAATAATCATAATAATAATATTGAGAGTTCAAAAACTATCAGTTAATTATTACATGATGTAGCAAATGATATATATATATATAAGATTAAATTATCTGTTTATTATTTCTTTCTTTAGTTCTCTAAATACTTAACTACAAGACAAAATAAGAGCGGTACAATTTAATTAAATAAACTATACAGAATAATTATTGTTGATTATAATCACAGCGGCAGTAGTAAAAAATACAATGCTTGTTAATGATCATTGTTATGATCAACAACAGTATACTTTATTGATTCATTACATTCACTGAAATTTTTCATTAATTTACAAGGTAGAGAAGAACAGTTAACCGTAACTGAATCATGAGGTAGGAGTTCAGGAGGTCGGATAACACCTTTAGTAATATTCCAACATTCTTTTATAATATCAGAATTTATTTGAGAAGATATACACGAATCATTTTGTAATCAGGATGTTTCATGATACGACTTCTCATCCATTTGGCAGTAGTCATCAACTCACCTAAATAGGAAAATAATGAAAAGAAATCAAACAATGAAATATTCATCGACATGTCGACGGATGAATGACAAATAAAATTATTTAGGAAGACTAACATCAAAGATTTACTTTTCATGAATATTAGTACATACAGAAAACGACATATTATCACAAATGTCTCAAGTCATTGAGTTGACCCTCTGTAAGTCAATAACCAGTGAGTCATCATAGCCCAACAGACGGTAGTTTGGTACAGCTTTCTTTCACATAACAGCACTATATCTTGAAATGACCACCTCTCCTTTTTGCACTCTATCCCAGGGTTAGTTAAAAATGAAAAGTGTGGACGTTGATAAGATGACTTTCGTAACACATGTTCAAGCCATTGAAGTCAATTTTTCAAGGTAATAACACTGATTGGATTACCACCGTTGCCCCCGAACACATGGACAAACTTTTAGGGCTAATTACTTCCTGTTGCCCTGAATGTCAGTAATAATCGGTAGACAACGATTATTGAAAACACAGTGCCCCCGGATACCTTCAACACGAAGTGGTCAGGTTTATTTGTTAGAAAATGATTCAAGAAATAGTTTGAGTAAAACCTCAAAAGTGAGAGTCGTTTGATATATTCTTTAACATTTATACTAAAGTAGTATAAGCAATAATAACGATAGTGCATTAGTAAAATTTAAACTTTCACTGATTGTACCATATAATACTAAACGAAGTAAAAAAAACTATATCAATATTGTTACTATTTTGCATAAGATACAAACAACAACATAATCTCCAACCGGTCAACTATACTGATATCAATTAGAAATTTGATTAAGGAAAACATGCTCATAAATGAAATAATTGACATTCAGAAGATAAATTATGAAATGGACTTTTTAAAAAGAAGTTATACACATGAAGAAAACTTGAATTTAGTTATAATTTAAAATTATTAGTTATTAAGCAACAAATAACGAAATAAGAATTAAAATATCTCTCTCTTCCTTTTTTTTAACTAACTCTAGTTATCAATACAATTGTAGTGAACAGAACACGGGTGGGGACAATCGAATTGTATTTAGCACAAAATTACAGAGTTACTTGGTAAAATAGAAAAACCATACTATAATACTTAATTTGCAAAATGTTCAATAATTGTCTCGAACTTCGTTGTTCTTGTATTTCTATACAAATTGCTTTCTATTCCCCCTCCTCCTCTCCTGATCTTCCCCATCTTCTGCTGCCAGACATTACATTCCTGACTCGCGTCAAAGACTACTTATATCAATATGAGTAGCACGCACCACACAATATCTTAGAAATTCATGTGAGAAAAATATGATTTTCCTAATAATTAACTAAAGCTATACATGTTATCCGTTTATTGATCAAAATATATTTTACATAAACTTGATATCAATATAAACAACACAGAATGATTCTTGATTCGAAACTCAAGTACTAATGTGTAATTTATTATTAAAATAAGAACTCAGATTGTAAAACATACACATAGATACACACACAAGAAGACAGATTAATCATGTAAACAATTTTCTAATTTTGAAGATTAAATCGCTTACATTAAGAAAGTGTGTTTGGATGTATAATGCAATATTTGTAAAAAGACATACACGCACACACACATACAAAGAGAGATTAAAAATTGTCTAGGTTGTCTGATTTGATTATGGTGTAAAAATGGTAATGAAGAAAACAACTGATCATCTGATAAGTTTCAAAAAAGAAACTAAACAAGATCATAGGCTCAAGAAAATATTTTTAAAAAAACATATATCTTGAGTATTTTATTCGACAAGATTATCTTAACTTTTTTCTCAAAGCTTTACAGAATAAAACTTACACTATAAATGTATACACCAAATTATTTTTGCGTACTTATTTATGAATCTTAGCACTATATTGTGGAGATGTTGATTCGGCTTTCCGAGAACTGCAACGGAGCCTCCAGAGGCCCTAAAGGAGTCGAAGAGTCCTAGCCAATTAGAGCATGATAGAGCGTTCTAGAATATCAACGTAGCGTGCTACTATTGGTCAGTAACATAATATGTCTTTTAGCGGATTGGCCAAAATATGATGTTGATTTAACAAATGTTAACACCTATAAATACCTGTGTTTTTCTGTACAAAAATAAACCTTTGGAGTAAAGTGCTTTTCGCTTATTTTGTGCCTTTTCTCTCGAGTTCAGGTCGCTGCGTAGTTCTAGCTTACGGGTTATCAGAATAGCTTAAGAACCGAATAAAGCGTTCAAATTAACAAGACTTATCAGAGACATGGTTTCGGGTTCAAAGTGATTGTAAAGGTGATGAGTACCTTGTCCTACTTTGTGTATGATAACACAGTTTTTTATTCATATCCAATCATCATTCCTACAAATAAATTCAATTTGGAAACTGATGCCATCTTAAACACCACAACTAATAAAAACAGAAGTTTTAATATTTGATATTCTGAAGTATATATCATCCAACTTAGACTATATAGTGCAGTAATATGAATAGGGATGACCACTGACAAAAACAAAACACTGTAGAATTGTGTTGTCATGATTTTTAGTCCCATACATTATCGAAACTTGACCGTTTAATTTTCGAAGTTAGTATGAGACTTGCAGTTTGAAACTCTCTTTGGTGAAGACTTCTCATAATGAATACATTTCTACAAACTTTCCATTAATAATCACCAAGTGTTGATTGGTATCTTATTTCGAAATAAATGTTCGAAAGTGTCAACGATAAGTTGAATTGGGTTGAGATAAATATGATTGACTACCAACTAATTTCTTTCATTTACCTCTGAATTAGTTGTTATTTAAGCGATACACTTTACTGTCCTTCATATAGTGATAAGGAAGTAATAAAATATTTCGATTAGTCTATGCACAATCCGATTAACGAAGCGGTTGATAATCATTTATTTATTTAAACACAGAAACATTGGTACAAGGAGGCACCAAATACATATGCGCCACATAAATCATTCAATTTGTGTGAGGGCTGGATTACTGCCCGGGTACCCAGACCGAAGCAGGCAGATTCACAGTTATATAATATACCCTTGTGGGCCAGAGTAATTTTACATTGGTTTTCAGGAGAACCAGACACCATCCGGACTTTCACGTGAAAACCCAAACAGTACAGCTCAACCTCGTTTAGCAGGGGAACCAGACACCGTATAGGCTTTAACGCTACAATCTGAATAGTACAGCTCAATCCCGTGGCGCAACCACACAGGTACCAAGCACCCTGGTGGACCATAAGCTAAGTAGTTCAAACAATTTTCATTTCCCAAATCACATGTATACAGCTTAGTGATTAAATCATTAAACTTTCAGCAAATCAATGAAATTCAGTATTTAAAACCATTCTTTTCAATGATTCATTTCAGTTTCAACAAATGTGATAAATGAAATTCTTATAATTTATACAATAACAAAGTACTAACTAACCTGATGCTCTTTTTTGTATTAAATCCAAATAACTATTAATAAGATCAATAGTTTCAAGATGTCCACCAGTTTCTTGAACATAATGTCGAATCAAAGGGAGAAGACCTGGAAACGTACTCTACGATAAAATGGAAAGCAACAGAGATAAATAATTAATCACTTTTAGTGCAAAAATTATGCGAGACTTACAGGAAGTAACACAAAGTTATAATAATATTAATAATATTGAAGGAAATTTAACAAATCGGATGGTATCGTAGAAATACACTGGGAATGAATTGTTATTTATTCATATTATTAACTGACGGTCTTATCAGTTAAAACGCGAGGTCAAAATCAATAAACTGAAAATATTCACCAGAGAAACTATGCAAAAGTGACAGTTATCTTATATGTAATTACGAATGTGGCTTGAAAAGAATGAAATCACAATTTGAAAGTACCCCTGAATTCTTTTAAAAAATTGATACTTTGTCTTACGATTATTTTATATATGTTTAATCAATATGCAACTTTAAGTATGACATATGTAGTAGCAGCGGCATATTAACGCTATGAGATATATTGATAAAAGTATTACCTGAAGATAGGAAAAATGGATGGTTGCAAACTGGAAATCGATAAAAGGGAAACAACCGTTAACAATTTTTCGTATTTCATAATTCAGCTGTTAACCAGTCGATTCCTACTTTTACATTTGCCATCATATATTTTACTTATTCATTTAATTATAGTAGTCAATTTGGTCATCTTGACTTGATTGTTATTACTGACTAAACAGACCGTATTGAGAAAATTTTCAAACTACGATATAAATAGTTCACTAGATATTGTTTTATTTGAATCTTCCCATTGATGTTTTAGGACTGAAATTGATCAATCTCTTATTGGCATATGTGCATACTGTGCGTATGCCTCGATATTGCCTTAATTTACAAGCATTATAAGCAAAGATGGATAGTGGCTAGCAGTGGAATCCAGGACGCGCGTTTCGTCCTGTTTGGGACTCGTCAGCTGGGTGTACCCGCATCTCAGAGTTGATGTTCACTCTGGGACTCGGACTCAGTACCGTTCGCTTCAAACGCCATCGCGTTATCCACTTAGCTACTGAGTCCTGATAGCCACTTGCTTGTGCAATGGGTTGAAGTTTAATTCACTTGATATTGTTTTATTTGAATCTTCCCATTGATGTCTTAGGACTGAAGTGAACATCAACTCTGAGATGCAGGTACATCCAGCTGACGAGTCCCAAACAGGACGAAACGCGCGTCCTGGATTCCACTGCTAGCAACTATCCATCTTTGCTTACAATATAAATAATTATGAAAATTTCTATGTAGTCGTTGTTGTAAAATAAACTTATAAATTTTGACGGAGTTTTGTTCTCTGGGCTGGATCACTTGGTCGTGGAGCTTTCATCATTCTTCTGGACGACATCATCAGCACAAACTTCAGGTGATGGCGATGTCGTTCAAAAGAACGATGAAAGCTCCACAACCAAACACCATCCAGCTCAGAGAACTCCATGAAAATCATCAACCTGAGCTACAAATCTTCTCCACCATCTCAAAACTTATAAATGCTAATCTAATAACCATATGTGATGCTTTATGTATTGCATTTTTAAACAAATCTTTTTCTATGATACCTAATAACACTAGCTAATTGCTTAAATCCAAGTACACAGAGTTGGACTAGAGATGATGAATTAGTTTTCAAAATTTTAAGTATTTTAACTAACACGCAATGAAGATTAATTTTTGTTTACAAAATTACAGCTATTCCTTCTTTTATTATATCATTTCACCTTTTTTTCTTAATTAAGCAGAAATAGTTTTTTTTTAAGAAAAACGTCTTAATGCCATATTTCGCCGGTTAAATATAAAAAGTTATAACATTTAATACATAACTGGTAGAGAAAGCAGTTTAAAAAAAAGAAGCATACAACTTGAATCATATGAATCTATAATAATAATAATAATAATAATAATAATTATTATTATTATTATTATTATTATTATACTCCCACTTTTAAGTCCAAGTCAGCAGCTTTAAACATGATAATAAGTTATAGGTATCATTACCAAGGTTTGATTTGATATTTTCGAGTAAATTGAACATTAGGTAAATTGTTTTAAATAAATTAATACATTTGTAATTCATGTTTAACTTTAATTTTGGTTATTTATTCTATGAAGAAGTGACTTACACTGAGTCACGAAACATCAGAAAATTTAATTTTTCTACTTATTGAGATATTACAAATTTATTTATTTATTTATGATAATGGGTTAAGTTTGATTATTACTATAATCCAAACTTTTAGAATTTAGTCGTAAATAGTTTGTGCCATTTGTAAACCGTAAAACTATTATGGAGCATGATAAACGAAGATAATTCTAACAACAAATCTGATATTATATACAATACTTTTAGTTTCTATTTTAATTTCAACCTAATTCAACTCTTGGGATAGAAAAAACGAATTAGTGGGAGAGAACAAAAAAGATTGAGTCTACATCCATCTTCAAATATATATATATATATTAATTACTGAGTATACATTGCTTAAAAGTCCGCTGTCCCTCTCGAAATACTCTCACATAGCTACGTGTATATAATCACTGCCAGGAAAGTCCTACTCACTCAGGGAAATTGGAAAACTCTGATTCCAAGCCAATGGTGTATATGATCTACAGGATCCTGAGGGAACAATTGGCATATGAACCTATTGTTGGTCACCGGCTATCATGGGACTGCATCTCCTAACGTTGCTCCACTGCATTGTGGATTAGACCTTTAGGTCAAAGACTCGAAGAGTGGCCTCCTATGTTCTATGTGAACTAGTCTCTAAATATCTTCTACCTTGATAACTTTATATGTATTTACTAAACTCAAGAAATATTATCCTTTTTGAAATAATCAACATTGGTTTTTAAATACATATGACCTGTTTAAAGGTGTACATTTCTGTTCCATTAATGTTACTTTAAACTGCACGAGGCTAGAACTACAATAATTGCAATACTTCTTCAATTTTTATCATCTCAATACCATTTCTAAAATATATGATAGGTTGGAAATCAGAATTAATAGTTTGCATGGTCGATTCAAATTTAAGACCACTCTATGCGCAAATAATAAATTCGAGTATTGAACTGAGAGTTGATTTATTATTTGTATTTTTTAGAACCTATAGGAATTGTATAAATAACTCTATAGACAATGTTCGAACAAGACGTTTCGGTGCAGCATGATGCTGATAACAATAATTTAATTCGATCAAATGATATATACGTATCATCCATCGAATATACTACTTATTAATATTAACAGTCAATCCATTATTTTTGTTCCTATATTTTCACACGCTTGATAAATTATAGAATTCATCATTTCTTACACCTTTAAATCCATATATAGCACCAGACAAGAAGCTGAGTGATCACAAGTTCTTTGAAATTTTGACTAAGTACCATATTTAAATTAAAAAAAACCATAACATTAGAACAATTTACCAAGTTTAATAAAAAGAAAAACTAAGAAATTTTCGATATAAAACTAAGTAAGACATTGATAATTGACTAATTACTCTTCAAACAAAAAAATGGAAATACAATAATAACTAGTCGTTGTAAATTGATCTTAGGATAGGCTAAAATAACCATAAGTCCTCTTTAAATCTTCAACTACAAAAAAATATGCCCATGAAAAACGAAGTCATATATGGGTGAGTTCATTGTGCAACACATTAGTAAATATTATAACACAAAATATTTCAGTCTACATTATGCAGCTAATTATCAGCAACCTCGGACCTAACACATATATGCATCGGTTCACGTTGTCATACCGAATCACTGTACTGAGATGAAATTATCAAAGTGAATAATGAAGCAGAAGTAATATCAATGGTAGTAATAAAGTTTAGGCGAAGATTATCTAGTCTCCAACCACTGATCACGATAATAGTGCGAACCGTAACTAGGTAGTTTGAATTTGTCAATATAGTTCAAACCAACAGTCAATGACTAAATGGGCTGAAGCTGGGACTTGGTTTGATAGACCACAGCTTATTCCAGCCTATTTCTTTCTATGCCAGCCAAGATCGAGTGTCAAGTTAGGAGTTAGTTGGACATACGTAATACATGTCCGACACCAATTTAGTATATTATAAAGTGAGAATCATACCAATCAAACTTACATGGTAAAGTATATATATACATATATTGTTAATTAGAAATTAATAAATGTTTTGATCAAACTTTTTATGAGGAAATATAAGCATAAACTATATAGATCAATCCCAAATACATATTTGCTAATGTTTTACATAGACGAAAATCAAAACTTTTCACACCAGTTGTCTTGAAATATACTATAAAATTGTGTCCTTTGTTTACATAAATTCAACAGATTAACTGTAGTTATGTTATTATCAATAACAGTATAATAAATTCATTATAAAATAAACAATTAGATAATCCATCAACAATTTCAAACACATACCCTCTTATGATTAAAATGATAAATGTATGTAGAAACTGTTTATATTGAAATGTAATTATGTAAATCGCCTCAAGATTTAAAATAGAATGGCACGAGAAACGATATGGAACCATTCGAAAAAAACGATGCACACAAATACTTAACCAGTAGAAACCAGAAACCACAGATCAGTAGTTAAATCCTGAGGTGGAGTTTTGTTTCAACCAACTGAGCTACAAATATTCTCTACTATCGCACGTTATATTCCAGTTTAAAATCATAACTTAGTAGTTTGATAGGTGTTAAACCAAAATAAAACAGCTGCACAGTGCTCCCTAGTTCTGAATGGTTATCTAGCTGATACCAATGAATGATGATGATCTCCTAGATGAGTTAATACTCTGCTATTATATAAACAATGGAGTACAGTCAAATGAGACCACATCTTTGTGTATTATGTTTTCTGTGAGATTTCTGGAAGTGGCTCAAAAGTTCTGAACCTAATAATATTCTATTATTATTTTAAATAATCATCGTATCATTGTGTTCGCTAAGTAAGCCTGGTAAGAAATCGAAAGTATAAAATTGCTTGTACTTAGTCTTAAAATGCAAATATACATTATATGATTTATCTGAAAAACTATTCCTACTTATTACTGGTAATAATAATCACATTAATAATAATAACGGTAATAATAATCTCTTACAGTTCCATTGATAATTTCATTCACCGACATCAACATATAGGAATCGTCTGGATTTACTTCAGCAAATGATGATGTCGAATTACAAGACGATGATGCGTTCACATATTGTTCATCACGACAAATTGTACAATTTGAATCAGAAAGATCATATTGTGTAGAATAGGTACGATTGAATTTAAACTTGGAACATGATTTGGCTAAATCAACTGGAGTACCGTCTTAAACAAACAATCAGATCAAATTAGGCCATAAATCATAAGGAATTATTATCTCTAAGAAACTTTTAAAGAAATTCTGGGTATATACATTACAAATTAAATTAATTTTAAAGTGTGGATCAATAAAGTTTGACTTATTAGTCTCAGAACATGATCTCTACTGTGAGATCTGAAAATTATGGACTCAGGAGTGAGGATCTTGTATGTTCACTGTCAAAAAGTCTCGGACTACAATAAACCATTTATTCGAACCTCACTGTTTTACAACGGGTTTTCTCAGTTAATGTTGTTTCATAACGAAGAATAAAGCTTTTATAATTCAACTTATTCGACAAATTATGATATGCTGTTAAAACTGTAAGAATACTATTATGATAAAATCATAATTTTTAGTTAAACTACATAAAATATATGTGCAATAGTAAGAAATTATACGTTAACAAACAAAAAAGAACTTCAATGATGAACCATTAAAGTAGTTAGTTTATAAACTAGAAATTTCAAATGAAAAATATTTACAATTATACCTGTGGTTATTAAATGACCTTGTTTAAAATAGAATTTCTCATTAAGAACAGCATCACGTTTTAAAGCTGTTGCAATGTTTTCATCAACTTTTGAAAGTGGGATTAGTAAATTCAAATTAAACTTTAATATTGTTCTAGATAATAATAAAATAAAAGTGACAAATGCAGCATTTTCAAAATCTGTTAATTGTAATTCAGTTGGTCGAAATTCAACACGCCATCCTATTGATGAATTCAATGGTGGAGGCTTAAAGCGCATTGACTGCCAATTGGTGGATTGAATAGTCTAATGAAAAGAAATAAAATGAAAGATATTTAACATGAAATGAATGTTCATTTAAGAAAATGCTAACAGAAAAAACAAAAATAAAACGTTTAAGCTTTTATACTTATTGAAATTAATTAAGAAAGTCGCATTGCATTCAAAGTATTCAACTACTCTCTGATATCTAAGTAAAACACAATTAATGTGAAAGTTAATAGCCTAACAATTAAAATTCTAAATAACTTTATTGACCGAAATAATTTTCTTACGTGTAATGATATAGAAAAGTCGAAACGTTATATTCCTTGTAAATGTTTTGCAAAAGGGCAAACGAAAGCATTTTTTCTAAATCACTACTCTCTGTGACCATTTATTCAATAAAGTAACGATAATTCAATAAATTAAAATAGATTAGTTTTCATTATTGACTGTTCTTAATTAAACAACTACTGAAAATTATATAGCACTGAACAGCTACTTCACCTCAATATGAAACTCCTCAGCGGTGTACATCCACAACCACATCGAGGATCGAATCCAAGATCTTTGAGCTTGAAGGAAAGTACATAAACTGTATACCAATGAGCTGGCGTCCAATGGTAAACATGCTTAACTCCAAACAATTATCGATACTGAGCAGCCATCCCCCAAAAGTAAGCAACTGCCTTATACTCTGCATGACTAGAATCCGATGGTCAAGGCTTCCGACTAGAACTCCAAGAGTTACCTCTCGAAATCAAACGCTAGTGACATCATTATTACAATAAAAATTAAAATATATCAAACTAGTTCAACAAGAAACTTACTTCAAAATGTTCAACTGTTTCTTCATTTTCTGGACAATTCAAACTTTCAGAAAACACACTGATAGGATCTCGTATGAAAAGATGAGCTACATGTAATGCCAATGTATGATCAACACCTTTGTTAGTAAATGAAATATAAAATAATCTTTGATTAACGTATTTTAAGAGTACTATTATCATATCAAACAGCTATTTTGCTATATACATATATATATGATTTATTGAATAGCATGCCTTTAGTCTCCAAATGAAGACAACCTTCGTCGACCATCACTCAACTAGTGTGTTAAGCCAAATTAACAACTTGATGTGAGACTTTCAAACAATTAACAAGCAATCAACTTCGTCAGTGTAACAAAAAGGTGTTTTTTAGATGTGACCTCATTTATTGGTCTGTAAATATACATTAGATTGAATGAAATAGATTCCTTTGTTTCACTTTTAACGGAAATGCTATTTTCGTAATATAGGACCTTCATTCTAGTATGTAACTTAACTGCATTAATATTACTGTGAAAAATGATCAATAAAGGTAGGACAACGTAAGAAACCACGAGTTATCACATATCAAATAAAAAAAATAAAGTTATTTTGAAGAACATGTTAATTTGGTTACTATCGACAAAAAATGGAAATTTATTCAAAAAAGCGACGCTGGGTAAGGAAGTATGAATGAATTTTCTTGTGGTAGCGAAATGTAACTCCTCGATTTAGAAATTATAGCTAAGCTATTAATTTGAAATAATCTCTAAAATCGAAGGAAAGATAAATAATCTGTGCGAGAGCAGATTTATAAGTGGCCAAGCGGAAAATGTCAAGATCAATGGTTCAATTAATTTTGCCTTAAAAGATAAGTGTTGAAATTGACGAAATGACGAAATACAGGGTTCAAAAACTTTTTATTACTACGATCGTATAAAGATATGAATAGTTAGACATATGGAATGTATTATATAAAGAAATTTAAAAACCAATTCGTGGGGCAATCCGGTTAAAACCTTAAACAATCAAGAATAGTGTATTTCAAAAGAAACTATCAAGCTTGTTAAAAATTTAATTTTTAAATAGGTAAAGTATTTAATATGACAAAAGACACCAGAGATACTCTTCTGTGTGCAATTCACTTATTCAAAGGTAGGGTTCAAATCTATCATTGAGTGGTTGGAAGTTGAGTCCATTAACCGCTAAACAATCGATTCCCTAAATGACATGAAAGTAAGATAGATAAAAAATAGGAAATTGACTAGACGATAAAAGATCAATTTACAACGCTAAGATAACAATCGTAGATTACTTTCTACAAACTAACTTGCCTCCTTCAATTAAAGTATTATAATAATCTTTATTATAGACAAGTGGAATATCATTGAATTTAGCGCCCATTGGGGAAAGGTAAAAAGAAACTGATGCAAAGCGTGATTTAGGAATAACAAATTGATCGTTGCAGAGAGGCTGAAAATTAGAGAGAGAGAAAAAGGAGTGATAAAAGCAGTTATATGGAAGAAAATAATTCCTAACTTAGCTTTACGTACAAACAAACAATAATAAATATAGTAATGTTTGGTAAAATCATTCAGATTTTTCTAACAAAATGTTTGAGGAGACTTAGAAAAGTGGATATTTTGTAAAGTATAGTTCTTACAGAAATTACCATCAATTCGTAATTTAGTGTTATTCCATGACAATTGAGTCTGTCAGTCATATGCAACGTGGAATCCAACACATGTGCATCGGCTTAGGTTACCACACCCTATTAACACAGAGAGTTAACATTATCAAAACATATCGCAGAGTAATAGAAGTAGCAACAGCATCAATAGTATCAGGTGATTTTGGGACTCAATATCTAGGGGAAGACGAAAAATGAATGCGCCTGGGTCATAGCAAACAATTCTGCTCCTTATTGTATTAAGTTTTTAACAATTACTTATGAAAATCACGTGGACCCCAAATGCATAGTTTGCACTCCACTCGTCAATGACCTCACGGACTGATTAAACGTTTTCGTTTGGCCGCCCCTAACCTTTTTCTAGCCTACTCCTACAACCGGTAAGCATCGCCTGTCGAGGTAAAACATAGAAGCTTAATACTAAAATAAAAACTCATTCTATAAATAACCTCGGATGGGGGGGAAAGGAGTGTTGGACCAGTTGATGAAAAGGACGGATATTTTATCGTCCCTCCATGTACTCATGTACATCTATAACGTTTGCAATAATTTCGATTATTAAATGGTTTTTCCTAGGATTTATAATTTTTTGTTAACTGTTGTGTGTATGTGTAACCTGACAACTGTAAACTGAATATTTTTAAAATGGTTATCATGATAATTCATTTAGTATGAAAAATAGCTAAAAATGAGTTACATTGTCTAAAGTACACGAATTCATCTTCGGTTTTAATATTATTTCGAATACATTATTCCCTTCAACTCCATTCATTCTTTTTTAACTAAATTCTATATTTAGTATTCTAGATTTACTATCATTGATATTATCTCGAATCCTTCCTATTCAATTTGTTAATTTTATCTAGATATAATTAAATGGCATAGCAACTTTGAACAATGCAATATTTGTTCAAAGTTCTACTTTGATTGTAATTGACTGGTGCTCTATCAAATTTATGTTCAATAAACTACGTATTATTCTTTACGTGCACCGCATTTTTAAATGATAAAAATGAACAAAACATAAACCTTAATTCCTCGCTCCTCTTCTGTTCGATCATCAACTGATGCGGATATAATACCCCAACGGCAGTCCCAATCAAGTAAGTAGCCTCGGATGGCAGGAGTGGCTGCGCTTAATGCCATAACAATTGGGCATATTGTCGCTAGCTGATCGTATAAGATCCTGGCTTCGTCAATGCAACATGCCTATAATTCGAAAGAAGTAAAATAATTGATACAGACAATGATGTATTAATATGAAGTGGAATATCAAACATTCAGTCAGTCAGCTGAAACGTAGGACCAGGCACATATATGCATCGGTCCAAGTTGCCACACCTCATTAGCACAACAAAATGAACACTAAATTCACAGAAGTACTTACTTCGATGGTGGCAATATATAAAAGAAAGATTGCATATAAGGATATAATACAGGAAGAAAGAAGTAGTTCGTAGAGAGAAAGATATGAAATAATGTTAATCTCATAGTTTAAGAGAAGACAAAGAGTGTATACACCGACGCCATTCTGATCGATTCTGAGCCATGTCACACAGATTCTCCAACCACTGGTTACGATAGTCACGCGGACCCCAACCAAGTAGTCTGCATCTACCAACATGGCTAAGACCAGAAGTTAGTGACCTTAAGCACTGATGCCACATTTCGGTTTGGCTTCCCCTAACTTTCTTCCAACCATCCAAACACTAGTCAGTATTGCGCGTCTTGGTAATTGGTGTTCAGGCAAACGCAACACGTAACCCAACCATCTCAGTCGATCAAGATTCACAACCTCACCAACTGATTTACCATCATTCCCTAATACCACGCGTCTAACCTCACTATTACTTACGCGGTGATTCCAGCAGATGCGAGCAATATTTCTAAGGGATCTGTAGTCGAATTACACATAAAAGTTTGTTATTCCTAGTGAAACTGACGTAAATAATTCAGCTATGCAGTAAATTCGCTAATTGTTTACTGCTCCATTGTCTAATAATCTAATGATGTAACTTTAATTGTAGTATTTATTTAACTAAAATACAACTCAAATCCTACACTAAATTGCTAACAAAGCTTATTTTTTAAAACAAAAATACTTATAAAACTGTTGTTGGTTATGTCCATAACTAACCAATCAAATCGTTGCTTAAGCTCCCACCAAGTCGATCTGATCTGATGGGTCTATAGACTATCCCTGTTGTATGTAACCTGCCAATTGAAGGATATTATTATCCTGTTATATTAGTGTGACTCATAATTCTTATTCATTTTTATAAGACACGCAATACTGATCGGTATGTTTGTGCGTTCCACTCAATGACTATAAATCTTTAAATTATTCTACTAATCTAGTTCTTATTTTTAAGTTCAGAAACAGATAACGTTTAAAGCCAAGTTGTCCTTGGTCTGACTATAGCTCTCACGTAGACTCTGTGGTCGCCAGTATCGCGTTTACAGTTCTAGAACATCTGTAGGACAAATTAAATCCTACAACTGTTACTAACGTAAAGGTACATAAATTAACTTTCATCAAAAATGTTAACATTCATGTAAGGAGTAGAATAATTTATCTAGGTTATACACACTGCTATGTGAAATATCAAGTGAAAAAGCACATGATCAATAACAAAAGGTTAGATCATAGAAGTTGAATAATATATAAAACACTTGGATCAGATAGTAAATAAACCAAACAAAATATATAATCTAAGTAATCATGAATACAAATGTTTCCACACATAAAGTAATAAATTATAGAGAATCACTTCAGGGATTCGAAGATTGCCAAAGCAACGGTAGCATCCCTATGATTCAAAAATATCTGGAACTCAAAACAACTGCCAACCGACATCAAAGTCAGAATGGATACTACAACCATCCTCGGAAAGGTACAGGTTTTTATAAACAGCTATGCATGTAAGATACTCAATATCCGTCGGTCTTATACTATCAGCGGCAACCTACTATAGCAAGAAACAAACCAGCTTTCAGCTGAAGATGAAATCAAGAAAAAATTTTGGAGGTGGGCAGGACAAACATTGCAAAAATCAACAAACTGCAAAAAATCCAAAGAATGAACAGGATTTGGGAACAACTGAAAAGGAGAGCTCAGGGCAGAGTTGGTTGGAAAATCCTGGTCGGCGGCCTATGCTTTATAAGGGGTAATAAGCATAAGTAATCAGAATAGTTTCGACTAAATTAATTCTCCTTAAAGACTAGATAATATTATATGTTTCGGAGGTTAACATTGAACAGATACTTGACGTAAAAATATAGACTAGATAAAACTTCTTCAATATTCAGTGTTTCTTTATTTTCAAAATATTTTCTTCAATGCGTGGCAAAGTAATGTAAATTTATGAATGATCAAAAGACCAACATGAGAATTAACTGGATTGTCCAATTATACGAATGTTTGATTAAATAAAAACTGAGTTAGTTATCCAAGACACAAAAAATTAATATGTTCATATATATTCTTATTTAAAGAAATTATACTGTGAAAGAAACGTGAATCAAATCCTCTTTCGTTTGAATGGTTGACTCTGACCAAACTACTTGAAAATGTTTCATACATTGAAATTTTCATAGAATATAAAGCAATACTTCAATCACTATAGAAGTTTAACTCACGATAATTAATGAGCTATATGTGATTTCACATTGTTCAAAGAGTCACCAAAACTACTATTTATAAGTAGATCATATCTTTGTAATGACTCTACCATACACACAAACATACTGCATTCAGTTGAGAATAACTTACTGATTAAAGACCTACATGCTACTATTTTTACTATGTTTATTCATCATGACAACGAAAATAATATCTAACATATCTGGTTTTAACATCTAATGACCGTAGAAAACAAACAAGGTCAAAAGTACAACCGAAATATATTTCTTATAATTTGTAGACAATCAACTGAAACAAAAAATATGAAAACTAGTGATAACTAAAACAAAAATATAAACGCGCTTATGGACGACTACGAAATTAATTTTACCATTCAACTAAGTACATTTAAACTGAAGCAGACGTTAGCCTAAAGAGATGATTGGGTATATCTTCCACTTGAAAGTATAAGACATAAGAAAGGCATTTTTGTAGCAGATAACAAACACCATTAGTTTTTTGGCTGCCTGCCTCTTTAAATCCTTACAGCGCATGCTTAATATTCATTCAAAAAACAGTTTCTCGATTGATCTCCAACAACTCAATGGTTGTTTTTCACAAGCCTTGCTAAGAGAATATCAGGTTTCTTGGATGATTATAGTATGCATTGTTTTTTAACCAAGGAGTTAAAAGACGTCAACATCATGCTCTGTAATCTGAAGTTGGAGGAAAACTGACCTAATAACTCATTGCATTAATGTTGAGCCATGTAAATGTTTTCCGGATTCAGTTTAGCCAGAAATGGAGGATGTACACTAATAATGACCAAAAACCGTAAAGAAATAGATGCCCCTAGAAATCTTTATTATCAGTGATTTGGTTTCAGTCTCGAATGAAAACCATCCTCTAAGTTATGGAAATTCCAAAAAAGTATTCAAACCATTTACTACATAATTGTCAAATTTGTTTGTATGCGTGTAACAGTTTTATCAAATCTTTCCTAAAATTCGTAACAATTAAACTTCCATCTATAAACACTGATCATTAAGTGGATAACCCTAAGTTATTCTTAATTATAGTTCTTTGTAAATTTTACGGTATTAAATTTCGGTATTCTATTCCGTTACACCCTAATAATAACTTATAAACACAGCATATTTTTATCACTGTTTTTCATCAGTTTTTTTCTTGATAAGTTACCCTTTTGTTATGTTACATTATTTTAGTCTTCTACGGTTACTCCTTTGTGTCTATAAAAAGGATTTCTGCCCTCAAGTCTCAGAGTATTGGTCCACAATTTCTGGTACGCCAAATGTTTGATCTCCGACAGAAGCATGAGAATATGAAAAATGAAGTTACACGCTGAACTTTGTGTTAATATCGAAAACCTCTTGCGTTTTATGACCAAAATAAGACAAAATTTAACAGTCTCCATATATTATTCAGTGGTATAATATGCTAGGTACGCTTTAGTCAGAGACAAAGAAATGTAGTTCAGTAATTTCTTACCACATGCTGTAATAATTAATAACTCATAACTATTATGAAACAGTTAGTAATACTAAATAAATTTCCAAATATTTGAGTATGGTTTGATTGATTCACAAGCTCACTAATATTTAAGTGTCTAAACCAAGGCACTGTTTCATGTAATAACAGACAAATCAGAACTTCGAGTAGAATTGGATATTTTCAAGTTAAATTATGACAAGAAGTACTGTTTTAAAACAGAGAAAACATACCTGGAAAGTGATCTGTAAACAGCTACAACCCATTCCGAAGCCCATAGCATCTAAATAAACATGATTCGGTAAAGCTGCAGACGTTGAAGTGGGATCATTTTGATTTGGGAAATTTTCAATAAATGGTTGAGGTGTGCATGTATCTCGATAAACTAAAATTATTTTATTGAAAAAGTCAAATGTCAGCATACAAAAGAACATGTCTGAATGTCAAAACAATGAACAGGAACATGTACATAAGAAATCAATACATGAGATACAGAACAATATTAGTTTTAAAAAATTCTTTAAAAAATACATCAAAAAAACTCCATTTATACATGAAGAAGAGTGGAGGACTACATGAAGTTGAGAAAACTTTCATACGGAAATATTATTGATTTATATTATTTAAATTATTTATTTATAAAATGTGATCATGAGTTTCAATTCATAAATAGTGACAAGCTTCGTGGGGGAATTCTCGGAGTCCTAGTGAGAATCCGTGGTCAGTGGAGTTAGTCCGTGTCGGGTAGAGACAGGTATCTACCTCAGTACAGTGGAAGATGGTCGCGCAATTTCGTGGGTTGGTTGAGGTTAGACGTAAACACCGTTGGATGCCGGCTCAGTAGCCTAGAGGTTAGGCGTTCGCGCGCGAGGCTGAAGGCCCTGGGTACACACTCCCGAGGAGTCCCACAATGGGATGAAACGGCCGTTCAGTGCTTCCAGGTTTTTGATGGTGGTCTAACATCAATCTCAATAATCTCCACAACCTCATACTGATAATAAATAATAAATCATTTCTAGTAAATAACTTTTTATACTCATTGTAGATAGTTTTTTGAACTTATGATTTGATATAAAAGGCAATATCGAGGCAATCCGAATAGGATGCATATATGCCAATAAGAGACTGATCAATCGCAGTTCTAAACATCAATGGGAGGATTCAAACAAACAATACAAAATGAATATAAATGGATATTTTATAAATATCCCCATGAACATAAACAGATCCTTTTTTTAATATAATTGATTCAATATGCAATCAACACTCAACAAACAGAATGTAAAGTTCACTAAGCAATTAAATTTTATTAGATACTATTTATAGCTATTTTTCGAGAAACTCAGTTAAATGTTTTCAAACAAAACTAGAATAAATCAAAAATAAGGAATTGGCTTTTTACAAATAAATTCAAATTTTATCATAAACAATGATAAACAAAAATAATTATTATTGCTATTACTATTCATATCTTAATTGTTTGTTTTAATAAATTTGTTGAAAATGCATTGATCATAGACCTTAGAAAATCCATTTCAATTTATATTAGAAATATATAAAAATTCAGTATTATTCATCAAAGATTTGTAGATCATCAGAAACACTAAACTACAAGCTCAATCAAAACGAAAATCCCAAATAATTTTAATTTAAACAAATGGATCACTATGTTTCGAACAGACTCTACGTTGGGATATGGTGGGTAGGTAATTACTCTCAATATTCCGTTCATCCTACAATAATAATAATAATCTGACAAAGCATGGGTTTATGTTCTTGAACTTAGGCCACATTATTTGTATGAGGGATAACGATATTACTTGGGACCTCAAACTAAATCAAGGTAAAGTGGGGTTTAAACCACAGTTCTAGCGGTTAAAAATAGAATGGATTAAGCAATTGAGCAGCCACCCATCGTAGTTTTGCACTTCTCTTTTTAATGAATACAAACAATGTTAGAAAATGACGCAATGATTAAATCAACCAAAGTTGACTTAGAACCTATCCTGATTGAATGGAATTTGGTATTAGACATATATCTCTAAATGAATTATGATATTTAAAAAAAGCCTTGTTGCGACTGTTAGAACTTGGAAGAAGAAGAGTCCAGACATTTGATTAAGAAATAATTATGTAAGTCATTTTCAATTTATGTATAGAAAGGAAAGAAATAACAGTAATCAATTTTTAGATGTTAGAATTGTGTAGAAGTTGGAAGGTAAAAACGAGGTATACACAAAACTTGGGGTTAACTTGACAGTGTGACTCACAAGTGCAAAGAAAAACCAATGAATCACCTTACCTATTGACCAAAATCCATCCGCTCTCATGATAGTATTAAACACTATTCGTAACTAACATAAGAATACATTCTCATCAAAGTTAATCAACAAGTGCATGAAACACATAGATGAGACCTAAAATAACAGCAGTTTTAAGCATAGAATTATCTTTAAAATTGGAACTTAGAATTGAGGTCTCCGGTAAGATTAAAATGCAATGCATAAGAAAAACTCAGAAGTGAAGATTCAATAGATCCAATCTATATACATTATATTACAATCGTCTAATTTTAGAAACCGCATAAATTTACTCCTTTTATGTAAAGTCTGTGTTAGTGGGCGTAGAGTAAAGCAAGTTTACTGTCGATTATCTGAACATCATCAGCAATAGTTAAACAGACATAAACGAAGATTAGTTTAGATCACTAGGCTTTTCTAACTTTTAAAAGTTGAAATTAAAGAAAGATTAGCATTATTCACTTAAATTTCCATGTTCTTAATGAAATAAATAAGCAGATTCAATATATACTTGGTAAATAAATTATTCTTATTCGTCTGATGTGCACTGGCAACAATTGGTTTAATAATACACTTACTATTTAACATTATCAGATTGAACTGAATTACTCAGCTGATATTCTTATTTGCGTTTCTAATTAAATATCCATATGTGTTGCCAATGTACATAATTGACAAATAGAAATGATTTATGTGTAAGCATGGATTGTGAACTGACATTTCTTTAATAAATATTACAGAAATATGACCTTAAATGTATAATTTGCATACATACATTAAATCGACTTAAATAAACCACTTACTGGGGACATTTATAGCAACTTTAGCTCCACGCCGTTCACGAATGTTACGCGTTAGCGTTCTAGAAAGAAAAGAACACGTAAAGTGATAGACAAAAAATTTAAAAGTTATGTTATATAAAAATGTCTTAACAAGTATATGTGTGATTAGACTGTTCGAAATGGATTGCGCAAATATATCACTTAATTCTGATAAACTTTGTCTTTTCATTGCATTATCGAAAGTTATATTACTCTACTCAACATTAGACCAAATAGAGCTGATATCACTGTACAGTATTCATAAGATAAGGATCTAAAAGGTGAATAAATAAAGATTACTTATGTCGATGAATAAGTGAAACAAATATTTTCCGATGAACAGACTAAAGCTCAGCAGAAACCAAATGAAGTTAGTGACTTGGTTTCGACCGTTTAAAAAAACGCAAGTTTTTAGAATTTAGTCTTTAAGTTTAGACTCAAAACCCATAAAAATGGTCCAAATTGATCGATTTTCCGTCTCTTTGAAAAATCTTTAGTACCTTCATCTATTTGCCCACCCCACCCCACTTAATTATGACTTATTCTTGATTAATTTTAAAACTTTCCTCTACTTATCGGCAGTTCCCGATTGTTTTTCAGAAATGGATGTTGTCTTATGTTCGTCAGTTTATCTATATTAACACGTAACGTGTACGAACACGTCAGGTTGAGTAGGGGATTTTAAATATTTAAAAAATCGGTTATTAAATCACAATCCCATTGAAAATTTCATGTATTTGATTCCCATTAAAAAAATAACTAGTACTCAAATTACAATCCATTTAAATTTACCTTAAAAAGTCATTACTGGTGAAAAAACCAACAATTTTGAAATAACGGTAAAAGTTGAATCTTCTAGGGACATCTTATTATTCTAATAAACGGGTATTGGACAAAGTAGAAATAGGTGTTTTTAATTTGGAACCTAAAAAATGTAAGAGCTTTACAATGAGGCAATTCATGTCTGAGTGATGTGTGGTTGGATGTAGTAATTCAATTTAAATAGTGCACAGAACATGACTTAAATTGCAGCAAAGTATAACACTGTAACCTTTGTCTACAGTTCGATAAGCAGTTCCCGGCTATTTTACGACACCAAGTGTTCATGCCTTTGAAACTACATTTTAAATAAATTAACAACAATAATTACACTGTCCTTTGTGATATATGATACTTAAGTGAGATATTTGTTGAGAGCTGTAGAAAAATAAAATGTATAATCATTACGGCATATATATATATATATATATATATATATATATATATATATATCATGAAACTTATATGAACATTATCAAACCCTTAGTATATAGCTAATATATATTATTACACTAATATAATTTATTTTCAAAATATATTTCATCACTAATGACATTTACCTATATATTTAAGTTGGCAAAGTATAAGAAATAAAGAGAATAGTGTACAAACAAAACAGGAAAAGTGAACAACACGAAAAATTGCAAAACTGTTTGCGTGCCAAAATAGCAAAACAATATTTAAAATGTACTGTATATCAGTAAATCGAACTATGATTAGATTTTTAATTTCAATTCATTGTCTGTATGAAATTAGTTCAAAACAAAAAAAAACATTCAGAAGCCGTTACAATTCAAATAACAGAAAAATTCATTTCTCCAAAGCTTTTACGCTAACTGTCCACAAATTGCATAAAAAACATGTTATTGGCCGTTATTACTCTTAACTCCGCCTGTATTTCTTCTGGAGTCACTACCGATCCCAAAGCCGGAAAAAAGGAGGGTTGGGTATAGGGTCGACAACTCCAACCCATAGAGAAATACATTGCTAAAAAAACGTTAACCAGATAAAACAAATTAAACCATTTGAACTCTACCCTCCGAGTTGAAGGAAGAATTATGATGCCTCATGATGAAAACCTAAATTCTTCGGAAGGCTGATGCCCCTTCTGATAACCAGAGCAACCATTAATATATATACATGGAATGTCCGCACAATGTAGGAGACCAGGAAGAATAGTCAGATAGCAACGGAAATGAGGAGATACAACTTGACAGTACTCAGAACAAAAGAAACCCACTGGACTCAAGCTGGACAGAAAAGGCTAGATATGGGAGAGATGCTGCTGTATTCCGGTAACGAGGAGGAAAATGCTCCGCACACACAGACCTTCTTATAGATGTCACTCCACCAACAACCGAAGAAATCAGGATGGCCATCAGACAAATCAAGAGTGAGAAAGCAGCACGACCTTGATGGTTTTGTTCTCTGGGCTGGATAGTTTGGTCGTGGAGCTTTCATCGTTCTCCTGAACGACATCACCAGCACCTGAAGTTTGTGCTCCACGACCAAACCATCCAGCTCAAAGAAAAAAACTCTATCAAAATCATCAACCTGAGCTACAAATCTTCACCATCTCAGCAGCACGACCTGAGAGTATACCAGCTGAAGCACTGAATTCATACATAGAAGCAACTGCAAACATGCTCCAAATTCTATTGCAGAAAATTTGGAAGGAAGAACAAGTGTTGATGGACTGGAAAGAAGGACACCTCATCAAGATACCAAACAAAGGAGATCTGAGTAAATGTGAGAACTACAGAGGCATCACACTACTATCGGTACCGGGAAAAGTTTTCAGAGTGTGACTAAACCGGATATAAGATTTAGTAGACGGTCAGCTTCGAGATCGTGCACAAACCAAATTGCGACACCACAGATCATTACTGAACAATCAGTTTAGTGGAACTCGTCACTATACATCAACTTCATTGACTATGAGAAAGTATTCGACAGTGGACAGGAGAACCTCATAGAAACTTCTTCTACCTGAGAAGATCGTAAGCACAATACGAAATTCGTACGACGGACTACACTGAGAAGTCGTGCATCGAGGACAGATGCATTCCAAATAAGGACCGGAGTCAGACAACACTCCCAACTCTCCCCTCTTTCCCTTTCTCCTGGTGGTTGACTGGATTATGAAGACCTCGACATCTCAGGGAAGCACAGAATACAATAGACAGCTCGGAATCCACTAGAAGATTCGGACTTCACAGATCGCCTGGCCCTTCTATCCCATACACAACAACAAATCACAGTCAGTTTAGCAGCAGCCTCTGCATCACTAGGCCTCAACATACACAAGGGTAAAAGTAAGATCCTCAAATTTAACACAAAGAACATCAATCTAATCACATTTGATGGAGAAGCTCTGGAAGAGGTGGAATCTTCCGCGTATCTGAGCATCACCATCGATGAACAAGGAAGATCAGATGCTGATGTAAATTTAAGAATTGGTAAAGCAAGGACAGCATTCCTACAATTGAAGGACATATGGGACTCTAAACAATTGTCAACCAATATAAAAGTCACAATCTCCAATACGGACGTCAAGACAGTCCTACTGTATGGAGCTGAAACTTGGAGAACTATTGCAACCGTCATCAAAAACGTACAAATATTTATAAACAGTTGTCTACGCAAGGCCCTCAATGTTCGTTGGTCGGATACCATCAGCAACAGCCTACAGTGAGAGAACAAATCCACTTCCAGCTGAAGAGGAAATTAGGAAAATACGTTTGAGGTAGGTAGGATATACATTACGTAAATCATCAAACTGCATCACGAAGCAAGCGCTTACTTGGAATCCATAAGGGAAACGAAAAAGAGGAAGGCTGAAGAACACACTACGTCGGGAATCGGAAGCAAACATTACAAGGATGAATAGCAACTAGAAACAACTAAAGATTGTCCAGGAGAGAGTTCGATGAAGAATGCTGGTGGGCGGTCTATGCTCCTTCACGAAGGTTAAGTTATTACTCTCATAATTTATTAATAATAATATTATATATACATCCATTAACTACATAGATTGGTTAAAAATGCGATTTTAGCAATAGCTAAGCAATGTTTGTTTTAATATAAAAAATGATGCTTCGATAGGCACTACATACGGTCATCTAAGACAGTAGAAAATATATAAATGAAACTTCAAGTGGACGTTTTTGAAAAAGTATTATGTTCAACGACTCCAATTTTATGCTTTAATACAATGAACTAAACAGGAAACGACATTTCTTACTTTAGTGTTTCTCAAGATTTGAGTAATTTTCGGAATTTCCATCATCCCTTGATATGATTTCGACAATCAGTGAAATAAAAGAATACTGAATAGTCATTTTGTGGTAGTATGAAATTCCCAAGTACGCCTTCATAAAAGTTATTCTGAAAACACTTAAAGTATTCATCAGAAATCTATCTTAAGATGGAAATCTGGCGATTCTAACAGAAGGCTATAACTAGTATAACCAATCCACTGGGAACTAAGAGAGACAATTACCGATGACAATGGATATCGATCACACTACATTGAAAATTGATTTAAGTTTAGAAATGTAGACCACGAAATTCCGACGATAGCCATGCAGGACCTTCCTCATTACGAGACCTGGATTCTCCTTAAACGTTGTGAAGGCCACATTGGACACCCAAGTGACTTTGCCCTGTGCATAGACATCCAATCTGTGTAATGAAACCCTTGCCAATACTGAATTATATCTCAAACTCGCCCTCATAAATCACCCGATTGGCAGTAAAACTCATCCTAGATTGAGTCCGAACCCAAATTTGTCAGTACGTTGGTGAATGTTACGAAGAGCTATCGTTTCAAGCATATTTTTATTGCTTTGATAATATTAAGACTTCTTAAATGGCCTAGTATTCTTGGACACTTCACATTACTCCACTAGTGTCACTCAAAACAGGACTTGGAGAGGAACGTAAATGTCTTAAAGTAAAACTAGTAAATTTATGTAGTTATACACCAATCATAGTGAATGCATTTCATAAGCTGAGTAATTGTAAATGTATACAAATCACAGTGCAGGATTTATTACAATAAAGCTGCAGTGAAAATAAAATAACGAACTTTATAATGGATAAGAGTTAGAGGATGAAGTTCATCTTAAATCAATTTATGAGGTCTAAAATTAATTTCTTCATGGCTACAGTAATTAGGGACTCGATGTCCTCGACAGATTAATTCCTTTACCTTAACATCACATAAACAACTATTAACGGGAATCTACGTGATTGGTGCTTCCTGCGCTTCGGTACTTAGTACGATACCGATGTATCAGGGTCTCAGGATAAACACACGCAGAACAGTCTTTTCGAATGGAGATGGAGAATGAGTTCGTAGTACTTCACTAGTCTTGTATGTGGGTCCAAAATATGCAGAATGTATCAGTACTAAGACATCAGAGATGTGACCAAACCTACCAATTGTTCGATCTGTATCAAATTGTAAACGTTGAAGGAGGAAGGTTTAAACAACAAATATAGCTCCTGAAAAGTTGTATCAGATTTCTCATTCGATAATATCATCCATAAAATCGACGACTCCATGACTTACAACCGTCAAAGCAGGAAACAGACTTTAACAGAGAATAGCTGCTGGATGAGTCAAAGGACAAAAGTATATAGATAGTGGGATTAAAACGAAACAGAACACCGAAGCAATCGACTTGTATTAAATTGATCGCAAATATCCTTTTAAAAAGTAATGAAGTGGAGCCAATAGGATATTTTCTTAATAGCTCTTTATTACTATACTTGTGATGAGACACTTTTTACAAAACCCAAACGTGTAAAAACAAGATGAAATTTTATTACTGTTCACATGGATATTAGCATCTAGAACTATTAAACAGTTAAACCCATCTAGTAAGGTGTAATATTTGAGTTATTCACATAGAATCAGTTTACGTATCTGTGTGATTATAACGAGTTAAAAATCTTACAAATTATCCAACAACTGCACAGCTCGCATAAAAAGCTAATTACCTTGACTATAAATGAGTTGAATAACTACTTACTGTTTCCATAAGTTCGATGCAGTTATTTTAAGAATAATTTGTTATCCGAATACAACAACTGTTTTGATAATATTTTTAACAACGCTAATGAAAAGTTCAAGGAAATTTGTTGTGAACTAAATATATTTTAGGCTTACTTAAAACGTGGATGTCCTTGAGTAATAGCTGCATCTGGAAAAAACAAACTTCTGGAAGCACCACTATCAGGAGTTGGTTTGGCAACTGGATAGCAAAAGTCATCACAACCCAATCTAAATCGTAATGCATAATGAATATAATAAACATTTGATGATAAATGTTTTTCTGGAAAGTAGCAGAGAGGAAATCACACAAAGAAAGTGTGTGAAATCAACTAATAATAACAATAATTAATTAATCAGAACAGCACAACAATCTGTAATTCATTTTTTTAATATTTAGAAGTTAAAGAGCAACCCTACTGATAACGCATACTTTGATATTAGTATGAATGTAATCCTATGAAACTAGCCAGTAAATATTTATATACAACAGTAAAGCTTGTAACTTTTAAGCATTTACGGATCTATTCTATAATTTTTAATTAGACCGTTATGAATGTGATAGAACTTTAATTGTACATGATTATTTGAACTGCACTGGTAGGCAATTCGACAGTGAATTCGAAATCCAAGAAGTGACATACTCTACACTCACAAGCACAGGATTCACACTGATCATGTTTTCAACCAGCAGAATCACTGGGATGAAGATTAATGATAACTATTTTTTATACGTATTCAATATCTGATGACACGAGCTTGTCTTACTTTTTAGTACTTATCTTCAGTTCAAAATTAATTGCATAAACCATGACTTTCACTAGAAATTCAACAATTTACTTCCATATTCACTCTGTAGTGAATGGTAGGTCGCTATTTAAATTGATGACTTTAAGGATTGAGTTCATTACTGCTAATTTTTATTATCAGCGAAAATCGGTTGAAAATCAATGGCATTAAAATTATTATTTGATGTATTTCGAATAAAGAAATTCAAAGTTTTAATATTCTACCCGCACCAAAAAACCTAACGCAGTAAACATGAATATGCATTTCAGACAGGTGACATGACCAAATAATTATGATGTTCAAATAAAAGGCATTTGAAGTCTATCTGTATAGACAACATATCACATAACATTCTGTTAGTCACTGACATCAAAGCAATAAGAACAAACTTAACCAGATAAAATGAATCCATTTAATTTTGTTAGATATATTTAGCTACAATCAACCCAAAGTATGCATAGAATCAATCAAATAGGAACATAGGTTTTTTACTGTTGAATACAATAAACACAATAATTGCCGCAGTTAGACAATACAAAAAGATAACAACATTAAGTTTTGACAGTTCAACAAAGTTACCTAAACATCAGGAGCCGAAAAAGAGATCAAAACATTTTAATATCTTCATAACCATAAAGGGTGCGAAAACTATGCAAAAGATTTCACGCTAGTATTGAATTATAAGATTATTATTCATTTGGACATTGTTGAACAACACTTTGTCATTTATCAAGTTTTTGATTAAATCGTAGTAAACATTTATTTTACTCAGAGTCAGAAACACGTTCTTATTTCACTAATTTTGTTATATGCGGACGAAGAATAATAAGTAGTATATGCTAAGGTCTATTTATGGACTGTTATTACATATATTCTTACTGTATAACTATTAAGTAACTACATTATGTGCATATTCAGATTCCTTTCATTATAAGCTTCCATTTGACCTATTGACTACTATTATATGATTTACCAGTCTTAGGTTATTCCCAACCTATTAGTAACAGTATCTCACAATCACAGCCACTTTTCGGCCTGATCTTGCATAATTGTTATCTTCTATTTTACGATATGATGTTGGTCTGGTTTATTTGTATATAAACCCAGTACATCTCAAATACATGATTCATACGGCGGAGGCTAATATCGGTGTTCTGGACTGAACCGGCTGGGTTAGACGAGAAGCTACTATCTTGGTGGATCAAGAAGAAATCAGAGTTGACTCTGAACTGCTGGTAATGGTTTATGTGTCATTGATCTGGTCAGTAAGTCGGTGTTCTAATTGGCGATCATATCACGTGATAATTAACAGGCTATAAGAACATAACAATTTTCTAAATAAATAATATATTTGTAATATCCCAATGAGTGGAAAAATTAGATTTTCTGAGGTTTCGTGACTTAGTGCAAGCCACTTCAGAGAATAAATAACCAAATTACAACCAGTTCAAGTTTAAATAGTACAACGGAACAATAAGAATAATACGTGATCAATCATAGAACAGGTCTGAACAAGTTAATGTTGTCATTTCGGTCAAGGTGATTCATAAGTGACATGTATGTAAATTTGTGTGTAGGTATGTGTGTACTGTTTAAGGATGAAAATTTATGTGACCTTTATGGTGAGAAAGGATAGAGTTTGATTTGTAAGATGATAATGTGAATTGTAAATAAAATCAGACTGGATGGCTAGGATAGATAGTCCCAGTAGGATGTATGGTAAGGCCTTCTTTTCGATTGAGAGAAGTAGGATTAAGCATTATATGGAACGCTTCAGCTATTCTCATTGGGATATTACAAATATATTATTTATTTATAGCAATCTATCCAATGCTCAATTTATTCGAAATTATCAAATCAAACCTTGGTAATGATACCTATAACAAGTTTTGTACAGATTTCAGATTCATTGAGAATAAATACAGGCAATCAAATAAAATGAATTCATCTACTCTTGTAAGATTTTGCTTGTTAGCTTTACTATGGATATTTTGAGAAAAATACATACCGTGGAAAGGCTGATATTGTCAATGCGATGCAATCTTCAGGAAGATTCGCCACTAAATCTAATCGTCTTTTTTTCATGTTGCACTCGACAGTGTTAAAAGCATCCAATAGTCGTCCAAAAGGAATTCTAGGTACTCCTTCTATCATATACTCAGCATACTCGGGTTGCCAAGTTATTTCATCACTGAAATAGTTTGAAACGTCATTTTATTATAGACAAAATACGTACGGGATTACATCTCCCAAAACACTGGTGATATTAAATTGTGATGTAGATAACTAGTAGGTAACAAAACCTTTGTCGGATATCAAATCCCACGTACTTTGAACATTTCATCACAAATTAAAGCAAATCCTTTTCAGGGCGGTCACGTTAATGTGAGTAGATCAATATTCATCCAATGGGCGTTGAATATGGGAAGGTTTGAAAAGTAATATTCCTTCTATACAGATCGGACCTTTAAATGCGCCACACAATAACAATTTGGCTAGTAGTAGTTATCATCGGTTTGCATGAGGGTCGTGATATTACCGAAGCAGATGGTTTTCTTAGGGGGGCCACACTCAGAGCCTTTGACCTAAAGGTCTAGTTCACAAGGCAGTAGAGCAACGTTAAGAGATGCAGTCCCATGGAAGCCGGTCACTAACAATAGGTTTACACGCCATTTGTTCCCTCGGGATCCTGGAGACCATATACACCGTTGGTTTGGAATCAGGGTTTTCCAACTCCCCTAGGTGGAACTTCTGTGTCCACCAACCGGTTAAAGAACCAGACATTTATTTTTCGTCCTCTCAACCTTGTGAAAAACACCCTTGTGGCAAGAAGGCAGTGATCAGGACTCCTGGCAGTGACTGTATACTTGCAGCCCTGTGGGAGCATTTCGAGAGCGAGAGTGGATTCTTCACACCCTCGACGGTACCGTGGCATTAAGGGCTTGAATTTTCGTAATATTATTTTTCTTTTGTTGGTGTAGTTTTTCAGTTGCCAAAGTGTTAATTCAACTTACTACTACTCTACAACCTAGTACATACACCAAATCTTTTCGACAGTCTATATAACGCTTTACGTTGACGGGAGAACAAAATAAGGTACTTAAACCGAATCACGAATGCAATGATTGAATGTTTACTGAATCAAATGAAGGGAATTAATGGGAAGAGTAGATCTAAAACTTAAGGATTAGTTGAGTAGTGTAGTGAAGTGAAGAAAGTGTTAATTCCAAGACATTTATGACCTTACTACCTAAACTGTAATCATTTGTTATGGAAAAAATATGAATTAAATAACTGTAACCCGTATGCTAATGTGTAGGTTTGAATCATTATGAACGTACCTGATATCACTTTTCTTTTCATTCATCAACTTTAACAACTCCGAAGCACCAAGATAGAGTTGTGCTGCATGTGTCGAAGGGTCAATGCGAACCAATGTGTACTCAATCTCATCACCCCATTTCAGTGTATGTTTCATTCGTGAATTCAGTTTGTGATACAATGATAAGAACTGTTTGATACCCTGTTCTCGAATGAATAACGCGACTTTTTTAGTTTCAGGCCAGTCTAGTGGTGATCCAATTGTCAACAAGCCCATACTGTATGGAAATATATTAGTTACAGTTAGTGTTTTGGACACAGAAATTCAAATACTAAGTGATGAATGTTTTATATGCGGTCGAACGAGAGAAAATGATGTTTATGAGAAAATACACAAATGTTCACTCAGCGGGATTAGTGAACTAAACTTGAATCCTACCCAAACTTGTAAAAATGGGATTCAATTCACTAGGGGACCATTCATATTGAGAAAAGTACGAGTATATAATTTTTTCTGATGAAATGTATTGCAGGTTGAAATGAACTACTGTAAGTCGACAACGACATACACGTCAATGGTCATTATAAAGTTAGTCATATTTTCAAATACTTATCATGATTATTATGGAACGCCTAAATTTGGTTTAAAATTCTCCTTTAAATATACTTGATGTCTTATCAAACTCTACAGAACGACGAGGTTTTGAGGTCAGCCAGCTGGTTTGCACTCTGCAAAAGTTCTTGCTAAATTACATCTACGAGTTTTCACCATCAGGTGGAATATTGACTTTTGAGGGGTGGGGAATTAGGGTTACATACGTTAGTTTCCATAACAGGAAAATATTAATCTGACAAATTATTTAAACAGGTCAATGTGTATTAGTTTCCAAAACGAACTATATGAACCTGGAACCACCAGGTATACGGAAGATCAAAGGATTATTTTGAAAAGCTAGACCATATATGTTACATAAGAAAAACCCCTTGAGGCTTTCAGATTTTCACCTGTCACGTCAGTAATAAACGCAAAACCACAACTTTAGATACTGGGTAGAGCCTTATTAGTAGTGAATAAGTCTTTGGTGCAGAAGTAAATAATTACTTATTCACTGAACGCAAACTAAAATCCTCTTATATAACATCCCCTTGATCACCTATTATTAGGCTGAAATCGTTGACTACATTACTAGTAAATATGTGTAATCATTTTTAAATCACTGGTGTATTAACAAACAATGACAAAGCCCTGACTTAAATATTTGATAACTATATCACTTAATGCATTATCTGAAATAATAAGTCTTATGTGACTAACGAAAACACTTTAAAACAAGTTATCTAATACAACTGTATTATTCCAGTTTTTATAAACATAAAGTGGACATATCATAATACAATCTTACTTGGGAATCTGTCAAATGAAGAAATGAACTAATGACCGTGTAGCCTGCTTTATAAATTTGCCAGATTCACCAGCTTAGTTCCTATTGGTTGATTTTTGTCGAGTGCAGTGACAAACATATTCAATCTTCAAACTTTGAACTTTATCAACAAGATATAACGAATGACTAGTCCCTTGAGATTTGTGTCCGGGTTGTCATATAGTTTTTCATCATGTATAGATTTTAGTACTTTTTTGATCTTTTAAGAATATAAAATAACAAAATATTTATTTGGCAGTATAAGGATCTGCAGTGGAAAATAACTCCAAAATAGTCAGCATTGTAAGTATTCGCTATTAATGCTGACCCCAACAGTTTCAATGCATGCTACTATACGAAAGCCTTCGACCGGACATTCTGGCCGTAGCCGATTCGGAATGCTTTGAAATAGTCTGATTGTATATCACTGAATTTATATTTGAACTACTGGTAGTTGTGTATTTAATTTTGTTTATGGGGATCAAAACTGTTTAAGAACCTTCATTTAATCATCGGTCTCCTTCATATAACTTTCGCATTCTGTTTGTTCGTTGTGAGTGGTCTTAACAGACCTCCATATTTCCTTCGTTTCTGTGAATAGATAGTTCTATGAGTACTCGACATCGATCCTTGCCGTTCTACTTTTACGGGACACACCATTACCTGAAGGCGCGGGATCAAACATCAGGATCACATCCTACTTTATACTGTGCTGCTCATCTCCTATGAAGGCTAATCAGCTTATATTTCACATACTTCGACAAATAGATCTTAAATTCGAGTATACTCTTGTGTTTCCACCGACCTTGATATCTGGTTTGCTGGGCCCTAGAATCAGTGTGGAAAATGGTGAAGTTCTGCCCATCCACTATCGTCCGCGCATATTTTGGCCTCTCATAACCTCAAAAATCGGCTGAAGCTGTTATACTACGGCTAGACCACAGTATTATTCATGAAGACTAAGTTTGTATAACACTAACAGTGAAGTTGGGAGTCATAATATTTACATTACAAACACAAACGATTAGCCTAACAAGCTACCTACATGCGACCTACAACAACGATGGAACACTCAGTGGTACCTTCCAAATCAGATACAGGCAATGAGTCGAATACAACACAAATCAAGCATATTTATGAATCTTAATGCTTCCATTTCATTCTAACTACATGACATTCGATTTCCCTATCTGTTTTAGTTGCAATCCTTTTAACATCAATATCGTTATTATTGCACTATCATGGCAATTCTATTGTCTATAATGCCTTTTAATTAAGTATCCTGAAGTCAATCAAATAGGAAGCCAGGAGTGGAAGAGTTCAAAGGTAAATTTGCCCGGCAGTCAATTTGTCGAGTATTTGAGGTAAGCTAACTAGCTGTTACAAGGGTTCCACAGCATGGCGAAACTGATAGAAGTCTGGTACAGATATGTGATGGAGCACCTTTACATAGGGTTGTGTAACGTAAAGGTCAGCATCGATGTCGAAGACTCACTAGACCATATATTTACCGTGACAAATTTGTAGTGACTCACATTTATCACGAGAACACGACTGGTTTAATAAAAACAATTATTATTATAACCAACTGTACCAGTGTTTGTTTTAATGTGCTTTTGTTTGACTGTGCTAATGACAGCTATATTGTGCTTCCATTCTTACTCTTACACTTTGATTGTAACTTCGCGCGAATTCGGTTACGTTCTGTAACCAAGCTTGTATCCTGGCACGATCTCGGTATCCTTTCGATGCCACGAGATCGCCAGCGAATACATCTCGACTTGGTCCATTAACTGTCTTCTGATATTTGGCTTCTCGGGATTTTATGGATTTATTTGGTTACGTCCAACCTTCGCCTTCTGATTATCTGGCACGTGTTTCTTGGTAGCGGTGTTCATAGTCAATTTCGACTCCACGCTACAATTGGTGACCCGTATTTTGGAACACGCCTCAACTTCTGGTCAAATCTTCCAAAGAAGCCAATTCGGTGAGTCTATGATTTATCTATCCACGTCTGTCGTATATTTTCATATTTTTTAATATATAATATACTCGACATGACGGATAACGATAAGAATAGTATTAATATAATAGACTCACATGTACGTGTACCGAATCCTTGTTACTTTTTATTCGCGTGACGATGAATTCCACGCTTTATTCGAGAAATTTTCCCCTATTAACTATTCTCCTCGCTGACCCGGCTGCTTGGTACGGAATGCATACGCATAAGCATATCCGTCTACCACCCAGCACCAAATGGTTAAGTAAACGGTTTCACTGCCAACTTAAAAGTGCTCTACGAGCACACGAAAACGGCAACTGGCACGAAACCTTACCGCTCGTTCTTTTAGGGATCAGAACGAGCTTAAAGGCAGATATCCAATGTTCCGCCGCTGAACTTGTATACGGCACGACATTGCGTCTGCCCGGAGAATTCTTCACACCACGGAGCAGACCTAATTTCGGTAAATCAGACTACGTCCATCGACTGTCTGCATTTATGCGAACGCTGTCTCCGGTGTCAACTCGAATACAACATCGACAGGTCGCTCTCCCTCGAGAGTTATCTACCTGTTCACATGTTTTTGTACGAGTAGATTCGGTACGCAAACCTTGGCAACAACCTTACGAAGGCCCTTTTCACGTGATCGCTCGTCACGAAAAGACCTTCAAGGTTGATCGACATGGCCGCGTCGAGATCGTCAGCATTGATCGTCTCAAACCAGCACACGTCGATGACAGTGCCCTATCTGATAACCTGAGATTCAATGCTAGACCTATCAAACCTAGCGGGATCCTTAAATCTTCTTCAGGTCCCACGCTAGATACATCTGAGACCTCATTCTCACGTCCCGGTCAACAGCACGCGTCATCTGCACCGTCTACGGACGAGACGACAGTCTCACGTCCAGATCAGCAGACCACGCCGCCTCTGACCTCGGATGAGATTGCAGGCTCACGAATACGAACGAGACTACCGTCTCACGTTCCGGTCGCCGAGTACGGTTACCCGTACGCTTCCGCGACTAGCCGCACAGTTAACAACCGATACGGTGTAGGATTATTCCTATACTACACGCATGCTACACTCTTCTCTTTTTTGATTCTTTTTGTTTCCTGAGCCCACGCCTTCGACCATCTCCGTTTGGTTCCGTCGACTTCAGTCAACTTTGGCGAAAGCTGGCCTGATCACCCACGCTCTTGTCAACGTACTCAGTCGATATCTTCGTTTCGAATGCTTGGCATACGCTTGGTCTCGAACTTGGTCGTTATGGTCGCTTCTGGTTTCTTTGGCTCAACGTGGTTTCGTCCTACGTCTGCAGCGTTTCTGGTCCGGACCCCTACGAACACCATCTTCAGATTCTGGATACAAACCACTCTGGTGTAGCATGCCAACTCAAGCAACAAATACAGCACATCGCTCCTGGTACCGTTCTCCGAAAACGACCTTCGTTGGCAACTCGACGATCAACGATCGCTTTCCTGTTCGCCAATTCTTCCGTCCTACAATCGCTCGTCAGCCGATCAGTCCCACGATTCAAACCGCTATTTATCGAAAGTGTAAACCCTTTCTAGCGGGGGGCTCCTGTAGTGACTCACATTTATCACGAGAACACGACTGGTTTAATAAAAACAATTATTATTATAACCAACTGTACCAGTGTTTGTTTTAATGTGCTTTTGTTTGACTGTGCTAATGACAGCTATATTGTGCTTCCATTCTTATCTTACACTTTGATTGTAACTTCGCGCGAATTCGGTTACGTTCTGTAACCAAGCTTGTATCCTGGCACGATCTCGGTATCCTTTCGATGCCACGAGATCGCCAGCGAATACATCTCGATTTGGTCCATTAACTGTCTTCTGATATTTGGCTTCTCGAGGATTTTATGGATTTATTTGGTTACGTCCAACCTTCGCCTTCTGATTTATCTGGCACGTGTTTCTTGGTAGCGGTGTTCATAGTCAATTTCGACTCGACTCCACGCTACATATTCATAAACTGTGAGATGGAATTTCTCAACAACAATCATCAAAGTCAGACTTTTTACCGCTTTAAGTTAATACGTTCCATCGTTTAAATCGTTTTTTACGTATTTTATGCTCATATTTCTGTCAGTATTCAGTACGTTTAAATAAATACAAACGGTATGCGTCCCTGTCATTCGAAGTATCCTAATATGGATTTTAGAGTTTATCCTCATAGATACATTCATATTCACCAACTTACTGTCATTTTCTCCTAAAGCTAGGAAAGCATCTGTATTTTTGAATGCATTCACCGGATGAAATTCACCTGCATTTGTGGCACGGATATGTCGGATCAGACGATGAAAAATCCGACCAAATATCATGTGACATCCTAAATCTCGGAAATTTCAGTCGTTCTTTGTCTCAGCGCGACAAGACAAAGCACACAATCGCAATCAAAGAATCATAACCTCTATAAAATGAATGGTGAATAATGCGGAATTAAGTGTGTAAAAACCATAAAGACATTACGTAGCTACTTAAAAATCAAGACTCGAAGACATTCAAATCATGAAGGTACGGAGACTATCTGAACGATGAGCACTCTATGCTTGAATGCAGAAACGTAGATACTAAGAGTTACGTGTGCAAGGGAAGCTAGAGGTGCTGCCATATGGAGTGAATACATGTAAAAACCTGCACACACATACAGTAACATTCGTACAAAAGAGACCTTACAACAAATCGACCATTGTTATGCTACAAGGTCGAACACAACTGTATGCCCGGATATAAGCTGACCACAGTAACGTTATTATTATTATTCACAAACATCTTATGGGCACATAAGTGTTGTGGAGAAACCATTTCGGGTTTCTTCAAAAAATGCAATAATACACAATTTTCAATAATGTTAGCATTATGCTTGCCATATTTAAAAAAAATTTAGGGTAATAATAGTAGAATAATAATAAATCAGGTTTTGTGTAATTGAGAAGAATATTGAATTGAATTTAAAGAAGGAAAGGAAGAAAATAACGAAATAAAAATAAAGGAGACATGAAATACGCAAATAGTTTAATTGGCGCGTTTATGAACATAAAACAAGAACAAACGACTATTTATATATCGTCAAATTAGTAACAAAAATAACTAAGAAAAAAACTTATTATCGCAGTAAGATATGACGCTAGAATAAATGTTTGTGCAGTTATAGTTTGGAGTGATGCTATGAAAGTCTCAATTAAATGAAAAGGATAACGAAATATCAATATGTATGAGTCATATATGCATAGTGAAGATAAAACGGGTCTGAGAAGTTAATTTGAGTGTAACACAAGTTATTGTTTTAATTACAGACTTCGTAATCTTAAGAATATTTATTTAGAGGGAAAGAATGGAGTGAAAAGAAGAGAACACCTAGTGAAGAGTTTCATCCATGATAAGAATAATAATTGCATAATGAATATCGATCTCAGAAGGAAATTAGCAATTGAAAAAATTAAATAAAATCCTTTGATGCACTCGGATGAAAACATTTAGATTTATGTAGTAGTATACAGAGTGAAACCGGATATTAGTACAAATATTTGTGCAATAATAATTAAGAATGATGCTATGAAAGTCAAAATTGATTTCAAAGGACAATCTGGAGTTAAATATGTTTAAAAGGATAAGAAGATACAAAAAGAATATCTAATGTGTCAGGGAACTAATAATGATATTAATAACGGAAATAATGATAAACACGAACATAATCAGATTTCATATATTAAGATAAATAGAAACAAAATAAAATAGATGTGTAAAGATTTAAAGGTTTTATTTTGCTTTTCAAGCAATTAAATGGATGACGGACCTTGTTTGTATAAATCATTATTGAATACATTGATATTCAATAGGTGACATAATCCACTTTCGGAAAGAAAATCGTCAAGGAGACTTTTGAACGGGGTTGTAGTTTCACCCCAACGGAAGTTCACTGGCAGTCTGTTCCACATGGTTGAGTAGCGAATAAGGAAAAAATTCTGACGTAAGTTTGTGTGGGTTCTTGGAATCGCTAGAATATTCTCCCTATTGCGTAGATTGTGGGATGATATCATAGAATATCAAGGGGTGGATACCGAAGAGTAGGAAATACCGTTAATAAGCCGGTAGATAAAGACAATATTTAATTTGATACGTCTGATCCAAAGAGGTTCTGAGTTGAGTTGTTGACATCTTTGGTGATAGTCTTTGTTATCGGAATACTCCAGAACAGCTTTGGTGAACTTTCTTTGAACACATTCAGTTTTAATCAGGTCATTACGTCTGCAAATACTGTAAACTAAAATACCATATTCAAGAATGGGTAAGATATATTTTCTGTATAATAACAACTCGACTCGATATTATTGAAGTTTATCATCATCAATCCGATGAGCTTTCTAGCTTTGGATACTTGAGATATATTGTGCTCAGAAAAGTTCAGACTGTTGCTATATCTTTAAGCTAGGTCACGAACAGTGTTGAGAGGTTTGAGTGTATGTGTGTGTACAGTCAGATTTAAGTTAAGGCAGCGGTCAATGTGAATAAATCCACTTTTGTCAACATTAAGTGGCATATTCCACGAAACAATCCATTCGTACGACCTGTTTATTTCTTCTTGGATTACCACTGAAGTATAGCTTTCTTTGGTGGGAGAAGAGAATGGATAAACTACATTTAGGTCATCGGCAAAAAGGAAAGGTTTGTCATACTGAAAGAGGGAACACACGTCATTGATAAAAAGGAGGAAGAGTAATGGACCAACCACACTTCCTTGTATAACCCCACTGGTTACATTCACAGGTTTAGAGTAGCGAGATCCAAAGCGAACGATTTGGCTACGTTCTTCGAATTGGACAGGTAATTCCGGGAATTAAATGATTTATAGTATCCAAATACGATTCAAATGATAGTTCATAAAATAGTGAATACAGTCCTTTAACATACACGGTTATATATATTTCTTGATATTAGGTAGAGGTTTGAATAGATTCTGTAGTTACATAAAGTACGTGGGTTAAAGCATCCAAATACGATATAACCATATATTCCTTAAGGAATAGAATACAGATGTGAAATGCAAATCTTCGTCAAATATGATTATATATGGTTTCAAAATGACAGAGCATGGTTTGATCGTATAGCCAAAATGAATATATGTAATTATATGAATATGAATTATTGTATGAATATGACCATAAATACCATGAATAAGTTAAACTCAGATCTTATCATATGGCATGAAATTCACAGTTTATATGTTAATAGTTAAGAATTGAGTTATCTTCCATAATTCCAAGATAAAATAATCCATCCAGCTCTGCGAGAATCCTAGAAAAATAAAACTAAAGGCTTCGGTCTGAAAGTAACGTCCAGTCCGTTATCGTAAAACTACACAGACCACAGGAGCTCAGAATAACTTAGTATATGCACATGAGTATGTTTTTAAGTAGTTAACCCAAATCTGGCTTTACGCAGACACGTAATGAAACCCCTCAACACCGTTTATAACTTAGGTTTGAGGTACAGCAACAGCTTGGACTTTTCCGAGAATATTGCATCTCAAGTATACTAAGCAAGAAAGCCCATTTGATCTATAAGCACAAATTCCAATGACATCGAATTAAGATTATCATTAAAAAATGTAGCATTCCATCAGGGAATATGGATTTATAGTTTATGTTAGTTGCAAGTATAATGATATGATAAAAATTGAACGTGCCCAAAGAAGATCCATTGAAGCTCTTTTGGGGTCTTCCTACAACAATGATTGCCATCAAAGACACCAACAACTCAAGTTAGAACTTCTCTAAATCAGGCGCATTATGTCGGACCTTGTCTTTATCTGCCGGCTTATAAAAAATATTTCTTACTTTTCGGCATCCACTCCTTCTCACTCTATCATATCGTCCCACAACCTATGCAATCAAGAGGATATTCCATCGATTCCAAGGGCCAACGCGAACCTATACCAAAATTTCCTCGTTATCTGCTATTCAACCATGTGAAACAGACCCTCTGTAGACCTCTGTCGCAGTGAAACTATAACCCAGTTCAGAAATTTCCCTGTCGAGTTTTTTCCCGAAAGCAATTTGCGTCACCCATCAAATATCACTATGATTACTTACGACTTATACAAACGAGGTCCAATATGTATCTAACTGGCGACCAAACAAAGCGGGACCTTCGGATTTTTTATTTGTTTACCTTGTTTTTGCTTTCTTCTCACTTAAATATCTAAAGTTCTCTTGTGTTCATATTCATTGATATCAATATTATTATCATGAATGATCCCCTGATATATTCTACAATCTCCTCTTTCTTTCTTTTTCCCCTCCCTCTTCCTTCCACACAAATTTCATTCCTAAACATACAAAGTTTATAATCAAAGACACAATATATTGTATTGCTTTTCTGAGGAGACCTAACGTGGTTTCCTCACCAAACCTATGCACCAATAAGTTGTTTGTGAATACTAATAATAATGATTGGTGGTCAAAAATAATTGGTCGTTTGAGCATCGATAATGGAAGGTTTTATGAGAGCATAATAATCAAAACGAAGCTCGATTAAAGTTACTATGAGTAAATCGACAACAATCGTTTCAAGTGCAATCAAAAGGCTGTTGATTCATACAATATATGCATCTCTTATTTTCACCGACTCCACGGACCCACCGTGATCATTTTTCATCGTACTGGAATTCTACCGTAATCATTTCCAAGATTATCAAATTGTCGTCTGCACATAGTGGAAACAACATAGTTTTAGGAAAAGCCTCTCATGTCTGGAAAATCCGCTCATTGCAAGAGGAGATTGAGCCGCGGTGAAACAAAGCAATATTCCGTGAGATCTAATTTTTACAAACCTAGATGAGGCTTGTGACAAGGTCTTTCACCTGTATCTAAGATTAAAACTGAAAGGTTTTGGGACCCGTTGTGAAATCATAAATCGGATACTTGACTTTCTCAATGAAAAGAGACGTCGGGTACAAAGAAATGGGACTGAAGACGCCGCAAGTACTCGGAGTTTGACAACGCTTTAACCAGTAACACATTCTAATATGAATCGTATCCACCGAGTGAAATCAAAAGACAAAAGCGAGGAGGTTCGAAGATATATTTGACAGGCTATCAATATATCGAGGATCGACTGATCTAATCTGGCTAGTGATTGCAGGGGATATTGAGAACGGCGTTCCCACTCGTGATCTGGTGCGGATGCATGACCGAGCGCCTT